GGGAATTGGAGAGCTTTTGCAATATTTGATATCGCGTGAAACGCGCACGGTTTGAGACGCAAAGATGGGGTGTTGCTTTGAGTGGGTACGTCTTTGTCTGCACGGTGGTCTATGTACACCTTGCAGGCAAAGCTTGCTATGTCTCCAAAAAAGCTACTATTAGCATGTTAGCAGCAGTGTGATGTACTTGGGGAATTCTGTCAAGTTGCGATGACAAAAGCGAGTCACTTCATTATCCGGGTCAATCTTTGCAGGAGGTGGAATGAATGGCCTTCTCTCGTATCAATGGATTCACAGTAGGCTATCTCCGAAAGCTGCCCGGGCCCCGTAGAATAAGCCACAAAGAAAGGGTTGACTCCCCTAGTCTATGATCGAGATTGACAAGAGCAAGAGCCACTTATCATACCACCTAGTCCTGTACTGCTGGTCTACCCCTCCGCCTTCGGAACCGAAAAGAGCTGGAAGGCCTTGAATACAGGCTGAAAGAGGCGAAGGAACAATGGTCGATCCTATAACTCACTTCAAGCACAAGACACCGATCGTAGATGTCAAAACTCCCAAAGTACTATGGCATAGTATCAACCTGGATGACCGCTCTAGTGGCGATTTCCCGGGCTTCCCATTACATTCCATCTCCGCAATTCCCCCGTATCTTATACGCCTCAATAGGCGCCTATAATGCCTATTGTCACCGACACAAACGTACTGAGCTCATGAGCCCGCTCATCTTCATTACAGTCACCTCCGTCTACCTCTAAATCGTAACAGAAGCACGCGAGGCTGTTGTCGAGTAACCATACCGAATATCCCCTTCTACCCCTCCATCCTACGCCCCAACACACACAAGTTAGCATTTGTCGCAAAACCAAAGTCCCTTTTTCCTCTCCAACCTCCCTCCCCCCTCCCCCCTCCCCCCGGTTCCCCAACCTACAAACCCGAGCATCATTATCCCCAACACCCTGAAACCATACCATCGCATGACCCAGGAAGATGCGAAAGCCCCACCTAGCAGATGTGATGCCAATCAGTACCCAGCCAAGTACTGGCGTGGATAATCAGAGCGCCAAAAACGGGGCTTCTAGGGGGGGGGAAGCATGAAGATAAACAGATTTGGAATTTTGGTCTTGATGGTGGAATCTGAATGGATCGATCCCGTAGCTGGTTCGTGAGCGAAACAGCACGGACTGACCTTTTTTGACCCTTAGTTGTAGTAGCAGTGGTAGTCTACCTACATATGGTGCGTTTGGGTTTGAGATGCTCCATGAAGATTGAGCCGTCATATTCGGAGCATTTGCAGAAGAGGGATTAGATTCGTGCGGGCAGCGGGGACTACGGGATGGGAAGAGGTGGGAAGTGGGTAGGGATTTCGGGGGAGAGATTTGTTTTTGGGATAGGAGATGGCGGGAGAGGATGAGCTTGATGATTCTTTCTTGGGGAAATAGGCATAGGAGAGTTTCTCTTTCTTCTTTTGTCTTCTTTCTCCTAGGCTCATGGTAGGCAGGGAGTAGGTTATCTGGGTTCGTTGAGCGGAGTCCCCCCATGATCCGCAGACAATCGGCACAATTTGGTGGAGTTCTGCCTGTCCAAGTCTATGGTCTGATTCATCTGGATCATTATTTTGTCCATTTTCCAAATCCTCCCTTTGTGAGGAAAGGTGGACCGACAGCTTGAGAAAACACACTGTGAATTATGTCAATTCGGCATAGGGCTCGTCGATCAGGGGTCTAAACCCAAAGGTTCCAGAGGTTCGGGAGCCAAGTCAGCGAATAGTCCGCAAATGGTCCCTTATGTCTGAAACTGGTACTATTGACCGTCCAAAACCCATTGACGTGCGGATTGAGTTTATCATTTTCTGGAGAATGCGGCTGCGTCTTACTATCTCGGGTTATCGCTCCAGGGACTGGATATTGTATCTCTGGAGTTCGTGGGGAAACTCTGACGCTTGGCTCTTCCCGTTTGTTAGCTCTCAGAAGGCCTCATAGCAGCGTCAGCACGAGCCGCAGTGGACACAATTGTGTTCGTCGCAGAGAACCAAATTTGTCATATGCCCAGTAAGCACTTATTTTTGTCGAGCTGCGGAATTGGCTCGGCAAGTGAGTGGCATTGAATGGAAGACTAATTCGGTAAATGATAGCCGGACAGACGGACGGCAGCTTGGCAGATAATCGATCTGCATACGAGTACTGTACTGTATTCCTTCGCAAACGAGGTATGCTGCATGAAATACTGACATGCATTCCCAAGCAGACGGATCTCATCTTAAGAGTGACCATGGCGAGAGGCTGATAGTATGAAAGGAAATGCATTTTGGCAGCCCCCTCGAAGGCCTCAAATTCATCATTGTAGGCGGCACAACCATGACCTCATCGATCCCGCCGTCTGTGCCGATGTAATTGGAGCCAGTGAGCCAAGTCCATTCCTGTGGTAACAAGACTGACTGCCACGGGCGTCACCGTATTCTCTTCATGCTGGAAACCGCATATGAGTAATTCCTCTGCATGTACGTACATGCAAATGAGGGCTCAGCGAGACGCCATTCCAGCGGCGTTCCATGGAAACATGTGCCAGAGGGTCATTGATCATTGTTGACTATTCAATCGCCATGCATCTAAGATTTGCGATTAAGCCTTTGGCTACCCAATGACGAACGACTGATGTCTAGTTCGCCGCTATCTTGCCTCCCGATCGGTAGTGGCGCACGGCCGTGAACAGCATGTGAATGACGAGGATGTCCTAGATATTCCAGTTAAAGTAGAGATGGGCAGGTTCGTGCTTGTTCAAGATCGATATCATCGACCGCTATTGAATCGGAACTTCCATGACCCCACCAGTACGACGCCGGGGTATAACATTGGGGCGCGGGACGAAGATCAGCGGTAGCGAATATTCTCATTGGGAGGAAGAAACCAGCTAGGCTAGGGACGGCTGAGAGGCTGAGGGCAGGCGAGGAGGTTCGGTAGTTCTTCAAGGCAAGGCTCTTTCCACAGTGCGCAGTGTGCACATAATCAGCAATTTCCATGGATCATCGATCATCATCGACGGAGTGGTTGGCAGAACCCGTGGAGCAAAGACTAGCCGCTTTTAGCCCCTGACTTTAAGTTCTTGAGGATTTTTGATTTTTGATTTTTGATCGCTGCCGACACAAACTTGGTCTGACATGACAGCGCGACAGTTTGCGTTTCTGAGATCTGAAGTCCTGATACACTGGTGGTATGCAGTACTCATGTATGGGCACTGGCACCTATGATGCATTGCTCAAATGGCTGCAATTCTTTCCCAGCCCCCCCCCCACCCCCTTCTTGACTCGAGGAAAGGAAAGGACCGGGCTTCGTTTGTTTATCCTGGAATAGTCCAAGTAGGCACGCACGTGTGCAGCCGCGCGCCTAAACCTTTCCGTAATTAATATTTATTCTCCTGGAAAAGACAAAAACGAGACTATTGCCTCTAGAACTGCCCCTAGAAAAATGCAGAAGACGGGAAGGAACACATCCTTGAAGCGACAAAAAGGAAGAAACTTTGACTAAGGCAAGGGGTTACGCTATCGTGGATTGACTTGTCACTTCGACTACATCTCCAGCGTGTACTGTACACCTTCTCTTCCCAAGTCTTTTCTCGTGACAATCAAATCATTTAGCTTAGCTTACCAGTTCCCATGGAATTTTCACCCGTCGCCCCGTTCGGAACCCCTGGAGCTCAGGAGATCAATTTCCAGGTAATCAATTTCTTGCATGGTAGATTAGCTGTTCAGGACTCCGTACTCCGGAGCTTGTAGTATTCACGGACATACAGCATAATCCCTCATGCGCTGATTCGGATTCCGGAACTTTGAGTCTCTCACGGACCTCTACGGCCCCATAAGAGACCGACCTCAGAGCCCAGACAACACCTGTGGCACAATGCCTCGTACTGGGTTCGAACGGCCTCCAATTGCAACATGACAATGAGAAACCAATTCCTTTCTGAATCCTGTACTTGCCTCGATGGGGCATCGCTTGCCCCGGGGACCCATCCTGAGTTAACAAATTCTCATCACCGGGTATCCACGAATCCACCCCTCGAGCTCCCCTCTCAGCGGCCACTTAGCGATCTATCTATGGAGCCATGGTTGAGGGGTGCCTGTCGATTGTTACTGCTGTTGTACGATGCTCCAATTCCACTTGGCACTCACCATTCGCTCTCCCCTGATTGTGATGGCCATGGCCCAGGGCTTGCTTCTTGACGTTCGTTGCCGGGCTCTCATGCTCCACATCTACAATTTGAGTTGCTAAAAGAGAACCTTTCACCTTTCCAGGCATCTTTGTTTGGGTTCAGGTTGCTCATCCCGACTTGCTTCCTCCTACCTAGTAGTTGGCCCATGCTACTAGATTTAGACACTACTGGCGCCTCCTTCTAGTATTTCTCTGTTCAGTGTCCCACCCCTTTTACCGATAGTAACCCTCTACTACTGTTTTACAGTGCGCTCTGCACCGTGATTAGTAGTTTTAACTATACGGTTTTTAATCTTGAGTTTTCTAGTTTTTATTTTCTTTTGTTTTATTGAACGATTTTATTCAAAGCGCCTGTTATTCCTTTTAGGCTTTGACGGGCGAGCCCTCCTGCGCCCGGTCAATCTTCTGCACGCACCGGCAGTCCTTCAAAAGCAGTTGAGGATCCTCTTCTTAGTGCTCTGCGCTTTTCTTGGACAATAGCTTCACTCGTTCACCCTTTTTCTTTTTATCCTCAAACCGCGACATCTTTTCTCCCATAGTCGAACAAACTACTTGACGACTCCGACCGATTTTATCTTACTTTCCTTAACCCTATGCCACGGGCCCCTGCCCCTACATATTGTGGCGTTCATAGGGTCAAGTTCCAGCAACTATTCAATTTCCAGACCGCCGATTCGAGCGTATAGCATTTTCTAGCGAGACGTTGGAAGCCGGAAATCGTTGTGACCAAAACGGTAATCATACAGACGAACAAGAAGTTTCGGACAGCACACCGACTTACGCTCGTGTGGGGAAGACACAAACGAATTCGGACACAAGAGCTAAAAAGGATTCGAGGCCCTGCACCTCGAGCTTCGAGTCTCCGTGTCAATTTCACCGTTGTATGGAGAGACGATTTATGTGGTTACTCCAAGCTAGCGCTGCAACGAGAGTGAAGTAGTCCGCTTGCAACTGTCACAGACCGAACTCATGAACTCGGGACATCGGAACTTCTTACCCAGCAGACCATTGAAAGTTACTGAGAATAATCGCCAAAATGAATCCAACTCCCGGTGGAAAGCTTCCGGCAACATTGAGTCAGGATGATCTGAGGAACGAGAATTCGTCAAAAGCCTACAAGATCTTGGGAGCCGCTGACATCCCTTCACGCGATGAACACCCGAACCGCGACGACAAGAGAAGATCGAAAAAGCCGAGCTTCAGACGATCTCCGGATGTGAAGTCACAAAAGAGTGGGAGTTTCGTACCCTTTCCGACCGCCGGGTCAGAATCCACTCTTCCACCAGCTCATCTCCGTGTTCGAGCCTCGTCCCCGCTGTTGGGGCAGGAATATCGATTAGAAGATACTGCCTTGCCTGCTGTACCAACAGCCTCGAAGAGACTTCATCTTGGCGGCTCCTCGTCGGCCTTGTTTTCCTATTTTACCTCCAAGGAATCAAGCACGGACACGAACCCGCCTCTTGGAGTTGTAACCACCAACTCTGGAAACAGCGAGCATCGCAAATCAGAGCCGCGGCAACATGCTGAAACGCGGCATGGACTGAAACTGCCCAAGGAATCTATGAGGGATTCGCGAAAGAAGATGCGGCCGCCTCGGATTGATCTTTCAATGCTGTTCCCCAAGCCACGGGCGAATGCTGCGCCTCTTCTGTCCCCCCAGCGGATGGTAGATTCGCCTTCGCCCATCTCAGTAACTTTCGAGCAGACTACTACCAACCCGGAAGACACCCAGACCCAAAATCCTTCTCACAAGCTATCAAAAATGCCACCTCATCCGAAGGCATCTATTCTGAAATTAGCCAACCACCACGCTCAAGAAGCACCTACTACTTACAAGATGAAAAGCTCAGATTGGTCAGATCCTTCCTTCGAGAAGACAGTACGCACCAATGAGATGGACCTCGCTTTGCAAAGGTATAGCGACATGGAACATACGGCTCGGCCGTCCGAGCGATTGCATGCGCAGTCTCAGAGGCGCGACAAACACGTGATAAAACGGGAGTCAAAGTCGACCGAGCAGGACTCGCGAGACATATCGTCCAATAGCTCCGTGAGCGGATGGAGCAGAGACTCCTACTTACCTCCCAAGGCCCACCTTCCACCGAAAGCTTATCGTGCCTCCAATTCTGGGCACAATGGCGCCAATGCGAAGACTTCAATGCCCAAGAAAACCAGCAAGAGTACATTAAGAACGGCGGATCTTAACCAGTCAAGCGTTCTTTGTCTGTCTTCGTCAGAGGACGAAGAGGAAGACGACGACGAAGAAGCCTACCCCAAGGGTCATTCTGATGCAAGTGCGAGAAACAGTGTGGCAACTTACGGCGAGTTTGAACCTGAAATCTGCACAGCTTCTGCAGCGCACACTACTAGAGGCACGCTACGAGACATCGACCGGCCAATATCTGGCATAAGTCGTGGATCGCAGTTCAGTCAGAGGAACCAATCGCTTCGCCGAAACCCTTCCATATCGTCAGCGGGAAGATCCTCAACAGCCACTAGGAAGAGCCAGTCTCGCCGATCGAGTGGTATCCCTACCATTTCTGAGCCAGAGTTCTTCCATGGAGATCCTATCTTCAGTCAGTCAAAGACTGCTCCGCGCACTAGAAACTCGATGACTGCACAGAAAGAGGCCAATAGGCGAAGTCGAGTCATTGCGGTGACGCGGCAAGAGGAACATCTTCTAGAAGCCATGAGACAGAGACAAGGCAAAATCACACCCAGTCTTTTTAACGAAGTCCGTGTTCCGGAACCCGATCAGGGATCTATGCTTTCTGTGCCCTCACGCGATTCCTTCTATGGCACGGATATGTCGTTCCTACGCCTGAGCCCGGCAGTTTCAGCCAAATCCAGCCAAACCACGCAGCAAAGTGATCAGGAGGGGCTGGTGTTTCAGAGTACTTCTGATGGAGAGCAGAAGACTGTCTGGTCGTTCCCTTCGCCTCGCACCAGCCTTGCATACTCCGAGAGCCTTCCATCTCCCGTCACTAGCGGGGCTTCTCCCATAACACCCACGCATCCTTTACATCGCTTCTCGGCCCTTCCAACGCAAAAGCCTCCCCCCATGCGTCCTCCCCCGGCTGTGCCCAAGGCACAACGACGACACTCAAGGCGACGCACGGATAGTAGCGAAGCGATCATCCTGGAGGAATCGAACGAGGCGCCCCAGAGCGACGACTTTCCTATCTGGGCTATCAGGTGGAACAACGAGAACAGTAACCTGACGGCTGTTCACTAAAGCATGATGTCTTGGGAGCACTTCAGCTGTCCTTCAAGCTTATGAAACCGATGTCCAACAACTTTAATCTAACGCCCGATCATACTGCATCATTCACTCGCTTGACGCATCTCATAACTATCTATATCTACCTGCCCGAACACTCGTTGCTTTCTCATTGATACCTAACTTGATGTCATTTTGTGTAAACTTTGGCGACATGATACCAGATGACTATCCTTTTAACAACACCGATCGCTGACTTATTACCTACTCATGTATATATTCATTCCTTTGCCGAGATTAGAGAATGGGTGGTACGATGTACCACTAAATCAAATCACTGAACCAGTTTCTTCCTGCACGCGTAACCTGGTGGCTTGATTGCGTAGAAGACAAAGAACTGTCTGTGGCTGCTAACCTGCACGAGCGTGGTTTGTGTATGAGGCGAGACGCGCCCCGCTTGTCGCACCCATGCAAAAGTCCGCGATGAAAGGGCTGAGGAGGCAGCCCCTGAAGCCGGCTTATGATACCCGCCGGGCTTGTCGAATAGCAGCCAGGCACATTGGTAAGTACCACAACAGGGCGAGTGGCGGTGCCTGGATTGGAGATTTGGTGGCTTGCCAAGGTGCCGAAGGCAGGATTTGTCTGTTCGGAAGGATTCTCCGTCAGTCGATGCTAGAATTGATGTGTGCATTTGTTCATCTCGTTGTAGCATGGGTGGTGTGCGCTGGTGATGAGCATGGATCGACGTTAAACTGGGTTACTGCTATGTCTTAGTCTGACGTCAGCTGCCATTCCTCAGGGGAGGGGGAAGGAGAGATTAGCGAAAGGTTGACCCAGAGAGTTTAGTTGAAGAAGGCTGGAAAGTGGGAAGTGGGCGGTGGACAGTGGGCAGTGGGAAGCTACGCAGTACGCACCCTACGTAACCTAAGGACTGTACGTACCAAGCCTAGACCGCCACAGTTGCTGCTCAGCTGCTCAGTGCTTTCTTTCCCCCCTCCCTCCCTCCCGTGACCCACACCGCCCAAACAAGCGTCTCGACAATACCCCGGACTCTATTCACTCCCTCCAGGCTTGCTTTCCTTGCCTTTCTTCCTTTGTCCTTTGTCCTACGGAGGTCAATCTACCTGAACTTTACACCTTGATATCCTATCCTCCCATTTTCGCCCTCAAGAACTAGTGACCTTTCGTCTACCTGCTTCTCGCGACTCACTCAATTGGGCCTCGGTTTGCTGGCGGACTCACGGCCCGGCGCGCACAACCCTCCGCTACCCCCCTCCTCCTCCCACAACCGATTGACGCGTGCACCTTTTGCTCTAGAAAATCTCCGCCGCAGTCGCTTACCAGTACTTTAATTCACGCGACGTGTGAACATTGCTGCGGTGCAGCTTATATAAGGCCGCTAGTGTTCTACTCGAAAATTACCCACAGACAGCGCAAGTACTGTCGAGGACGAGTTGACTAACGTCACCATGGGAGAGACCGCAGCGCGCCGGTCTGCAGGACTGGGAACAACCATGAAAAATGCTTCTTGGGTCCTAGTAAGATCTTCATGTACCCTGTGTCAAACGAGCGCTGCGCGCCCGTACTTTGCGCTCAGCGTCAGCCTTCCTGGCCCGTCCGCTAACTATGTGTTCTGGTCTAGTTGACGGCACAATATACTGCCTTTGTGTTGGTAAGTTCACCATGTCACTCAATGGTCTGCAGTTGTAACGGAAAGCTAACTTCTCCTTGTAGTTATCACATTACTCTAGGGTCATGCCGCCCGCTGGCGGCAGACGGTATCTGACGTCCACCGCTGTTTTCTTCAACGAGGTCGCGAAACTCGGCATCTCCCTAACCATAGCCCTGTACGAGGTTTCGAAGACGGCACCACCTTCGGTTCCCGCAACGTCGCTATTCTTTTCGCTCACCTCCGCCGTGTTCTCCGGCGATAGTTGGAAGCTCGCAATTCCCGCTTGTCTCTATACGATCGCCAATTCTTTGCAGTACATTGCACTCTCGAACTTGCAAGCTGCCACTTTCCAGGTCTCATACCAGCTGAAGCTTCTGGTAACGGCCATAGTCAGCCTTTTTGTCTTTAGAAGGTCGATTTCCCTCCGCAAATGGGGTCTGCTGGTGCTCCTTGTGATTGGAATTGCACTGGTGCAAATGCCCAATGTCAGCGTCGACGAGGCTCACTTCGACGAAGCTGCCCATCTTTCCTTCCCACGCTCGTTGGAGGAATGGAAAGCTGCTAAGCTGGGACGTGAAAACCTACACAGGCGTTCCGCGACTTATGAAGGCATCGAAGAGGATATCCTGACTGCTAATCCTCGCTTGAACGGAACAATTGGTCTCTTGGCTACTGCAGGTGCCTGTGTTGCCTCTGGCCTAGCCGGGGTATATTTTGAAAAGGTCATCCAAGACAGCGCGAAGACTACATCTCTTTGGGTCCGTAATGTTCAACTGGCCGTCTACTCTATCTTCCCTGCACTGTTCATCGGCGTTGTATTCCTGGATGGCGAGAAAGTGGCAGCCAATGGGTTCTTCGATGGGTACAACTGGGTCGTCTGGTCTACCGTTATTGTACAAGCCCTGGGAGGTATTGCCACGTCTTTCTGCATTGGCCATGCCTACAGAGATGCGAAGAACATTGCCACGGCTGCAAGCATCGTCCTCACAACGTTAGCGAGCACCTGGCTATTCGAGTTTGAACTCACGGCAAATGTATGCGAGATCTCCCCTTTGCTTACTGAGATGAGAACTAATGTGTATGCTTGCAGTTCCTCCTTGGGTCTTTCGCAGTACTAGTGACTACTTGCCTCTGTGAGGAGTCGAGCGCCAACCCTGTCAAGGCTCAACGACAGACGCTGCGTCCGCCCCCCATTCGAGTTGACCGCTATGAGAAGGATAACAAGAGTGGTGAGGCTTCACCTGCCTCACCATCACCCAACGAAATATCTATCAAGCTCCCTGGAACACCATTCTTGTCCGATGCCGGTCTCTCCACATCGAGACCTACATCACCGGGCCATGTACGCGTTAGTGCTGGCCGCACTCCAAACGGGGGATACTTTGAGAAGCACCCTCGGGATCAATGAGTCGAGGGCGCGACTACCAGTGTTTTGATAGTAGCTTTTGAAATGGCGCTACACTGTATCATGGTTTCAGGAAGTAAATATGGATGGATAGACGTGGTGATGCCTGTTACGTTCTCGACGGAAAATGTCTCAAGTTCTTGTACTCTATGGTCGTTCTTCTACCTTGTTGATTATAGCTGATAGGATTCTCAAATCCCATGTTTGTATACACCGTGCATCTACATCATACGAAGCAAAACTGTTATAGGGTGGCTTATCTTTCGATATCCGGGACATATAAGCTTGACGCACAATACATTGTACATCATCTTGACTGATTAGGGGCCCCGGGAAATCAATCAATTGCCCCCGTGGGAAGTCACATGTTTCCTATCAAGTCCTCTTTGGGAGACTACCCATCCTTCCTATCTTTCCGCATAGCCTCTTCTGTCCTCATTGGTATCTCATACATTCGCAGCAACTGATGGTGAGAGATATCGTATATCTAGGCAACATGCGGCGTGATCGGTATCATTTTAAGCCCTCACCCAAGCAGCGGACCTTGCCCGAGCGCAGAGCAGAGTTACTGCTGCGAACACCGAGTCGGTTCACTCACCATGCTAATCATACATTAGAGGAGGGCGCTCGCGTCTCACCATATTTCAGCAGGCAGGCTCAACAGACTCCTGAAAGTTATGTTTCTGAGAATCTTCATACGCCCCCATTTGATACTGTTCAAGAGCTTGATGCATTTGGTGGGCCATGAACGTACTTCCAATCATATTCTTCCTGGGCCTAACGTCAATGGTTATTCAATTAGATCTTGAGCTGCTGGCGCAGTCAAATGCGCAGACACAAGGTCTTCTTCAGCCGAATGCCCACGGTGATCAGTACTCAGCTCTGAATCGCTTTGAGGCGGTTGTTCATCCCCGAGCAGCTCGATATCCTCATGGTCAGTGTACAGATACGGGGATATGCAGAAATAACAATCTGATGATATGGCAGACGTGCTTCAGGTGTCACCTCGAGATGCAGGATCCAGCTCCTCGGGTGTAGGGATAATATCTCCGTCGAGTCCCTTGCTCAGACTGCAAGCCCAAAGGGGCACCGTGGACCGGATCCTGGAGTACCCCAGTGACACCCGAACGGATATTGAATCCCTGTATAATGCTAGCCCTAATGCTGAACGACCATCGCCTTCCCTTGTTGCTTCTGGGCAGTCGGGGCATTCACAGCTAGGCCAAGCCACAAATTCACCTCGTTTCCTTGCGTCTGTTCGGGGCATTGTCCTTGTATCGGTGCATGAGCTTCCCGATAAATATCGCGCCATATTCCCTTTCCCGGTCTTCAACGCAATCCAATCCAAGAATTTCCAATCCGTTTACAGAAGTGACCACAACATCGTCCTCTCAGCCCCAACAGGGAGCGGGAAAACCGTGATCATGGAGCTGGCGATATGCCGATTGATGAATACATCCAGGGACGAAAGGTTCAAGGTGGTCTATCAAGCGCCTACAAAGTCCCTCTGCTCGGAGAGATTCCGAGACTGGAATGGGAAGTTCCTTACCTTGGGGCTGCAGTGTGCCGAGCTGACCGGCGACACCGACCACACGCAGCTGAAGAGCGTGCAGAATAGCCAGATCATTATCACCACACCCGAAAAGTGGGACAGCGTAACCCGGAAATGGAAAGATCATGCACGATTGATGCAGCTGGTCAAGCTGTTCCTCATCGACGAGGTTCATATCCTCAAAGAAGCTCGAGGAGCAACACTCGAGGCCGTCGTATCCCGTATGAAAACTAATGGTTCGAATGTACGGTTTGTTGCCCTGAGTGCGACAGTGCCGAATTCTGAGGACATTGCCACTTGGCTTGGTCGCGACGCGACAAATCAGCACCTGCCCGCGCATAGAGAACACTTCGATGAGAGCTTCCGTCCCGTCAAGCTGCAGAAGTTCGTCTATGGTTATCGATCACAGGGCAATGACTTCGCCTTTGACAAGATGTGCAACACCAAGTAAGCCAAGCCCGAATTCCTGGATTGACTGATGTCGCTTTTCTTGAGTCTGAATTAACGTCATGAATGCAGACTTCCTGATTTGATCAAGGCACATTCATGTAAGAAACCCATAATTGTTTTCTGCTGCACCAGACTCTCTGCCGTCTCGACGGCGAAAGAGCTTGCTCGACTGTGGTCGATGTCCAATCTTCCTGCCAGACTGTGGAAAGGAGCAAGCAAACGTCTGGGAGCCCATAATGCAGACTTGGAGGGTAGGTTTTGACCCAGAAGAGAGGAAATCACAATCTATAATGCTGAGTATTTGAGCAGGTATATTGACTGCCGGTGTCGCCTTTCACCATGCTGGCCTTGATTCCGTTGACCGGCGCACAGTTGAAACAGGGTTCCTCCAAGGGCATATCAGCATTATATGCTGCACGTCCACTCTCGCAGTCGGCGTCAATCTTCCGTGCCATCTCGTGGTCATCAAAGGCACCGTGGGCTGGCAAGGGAGTGGCTGTCAGGAATATTCCGATCTGGAAATCATGCAAATGCTCGGCCGTGCGGGACGACCACAGTTTGACAACAATGCCACAGCGGTGATCATGACTAGAAAGGAACGAGAATCTCACTATGAGAAGCTTGTCTCAGGATCTGAGAGCCTTGAGAGCTGTCTGCATCTGAATCTGATTGATCACCTCAACGCAGAGATCGGGCTAGGCAACGTGACTGACATTAACTCCGCCATCAGATGGCTGGGTGGAACATTTCTGTTCGTGAGACTTAGAAGAAATCCCGCACACTACCAGCTGAAAGAAAGTGCAGATGGAGATGGAGAAGATGAGATGCTTCGGCAGATCTGTGAGAAGGACATTACACTCCTTCAAGAGTATGGGTTGGTCACAGTTGATGGCCTCCAATCGACCACTTTCGGAGAGGTGATGGCTCGCTATTACGTGCGGTTCGAAACAATGAAAAATCTGCTCGCGTTGAAGCCCCAGTCTACTGTGTTACAGATAGTAAGTGAAGGGGATCGGGTATGCATGTTGACGCTGAGACTAAACATCCAAAGCTATCCGTCGTGGCTCAAGCGGAAGAATTCCTGGACATTCGTCTCAAAGCTGGAGAGAAGTCTCTCTACAAGGAGATAAACCGCTCCAATGGGATACGATTCCCCATAAAGGTCGACATAGCGCTTTCAGCCCACAAAATCTCGCTTCTGGTCCAATCCGAACTGGGTGCGGTGGACTTCCCGGACGGCGAACAGTTCCAGAAATTCAGATTTGTCTTTCAACAGGACAAGAGTTTCGTCTTCAGCCACATAAATAGACTGATTCGGTGCATCATAGACTGCCAGATCTCCCTTGAGGACGTGGTGACCTTGCGAAATGCTCTGGAGCTGGCGCGGAGTTTTGGAGCCAAGGTCTGGGATAACTCTCCGCTACAAATGAAGCAGCTTGAGCAGGTTGGGATCGTGACGGTCAGAAAGCTGGCCGCAGCTAATATTACAAGTATTGAGGCGCTGGGGCAGTGCGAGCCGCACCGCATTGATATGATCTTGAGCAAGAATCCTCCCTTTGGCGCGAAGCTGCTGGAGCGGGTTGCGACTTTCCCTAGGCTCCGAGTAGCCATCAAAATGACCGGCAAGGTACGCTGAAACAGCAACGCATACTTCCCCCCAGCAGTCACTAAGAGCCAAGTAGGAAATCAATCCGGCAGCGCCAGTGAGAATTCGCCTCAAGGCAGAGATCGCATTCATGAACGACGAGTGCCCTTCCTTTTATCTGAAACATCCCGTGTATGTTTGCTTCTTGGCTGAGGTGTCAGACGGTCGTCTCCTGGAGTTTCGACGCATCAGGTAAGCTGGAGTTGCTCTCGTCATGACAGTCATTCAAGCTAATGTGCCATAGTGCGAGCAGGGTGTCAAACGGCCAGGAGATTTTGCTCAGTGCGGAATTAACGGACAAGGACCAGTTCGTGTCATGCAGTGTTTCGTGTGACGATATTGGTGAGGGCATGCATGTCCCTTAGACTCCTTGTTTGTCGCTGACGCTGGCTAGCTGGGACATTGAGATCCGCGGTTCTGAAGCCCGAGCTTCCACCGACACTCTTCTTTTCTCGTCCGAACACAAGGCTTGAGGCTGCTGCGGCGAAGCCTCCTATCAATATCTCAAGCTGTGATAGCAATGATGATTCCAAGAGCAAGCGACCCACTTCACAAAGTGTTATCACTCTGGATAGCGACGAGTCATTGTTCGACAGATTCCTGCAGGAGGGTAGGTTCGGGGTCCTACATGATCCATGAAAGACCACTAACCTGTTCTTAAAATAGAGGATGACAGTTGGTTATTGGGCAACTTGCCAGCGCCTTCAGAAAGAAAAACACAGAACAATGGCTCGAGCGAGAGCAAGGGCTTTGACAGCAAGGCCAAGACCCGCGAGGTTGAGGAACCAACACCAATGGAGAACGGCAGGTGGGCATGCAACCACCGCTGCAGGGATAAGACTGTGTAAGGAGCTATGGTATTTCTTCAAGATAAGATACTGATCAGAGTAGGTGCAAGCACTTCTGTTGTCGAGATGGACTTGACAAGCCCCCGAAGGCGAGTAAGAAACAGCCATGCCTTGGGGCCGAAAAGTCGAAGGGGCTCAACCAAACAACCCTGCCAGCATCAATGACCAGGAAAGATGGCAACACGGCTGGCGCCGAGCTGTGTGGTTTGAGCTTGACTGAAGAGTCTTCTGCTTCTATGAGTCATAAGTCGCAGAAAGGTCCAGATCATGCTTCAGAGAATGAACCAGCGGAGTCTTGGTCCACCGGAGGACCCAACGATGATGTGTCTCCTGGGTTTCACGAAAGCAAACTTTCAAGAGAGCCCAGTGATGATACCTTCAGCGATTTCCCCTCACCTGCCGCTCTGTTGCTTGGGGATCAGACAAATACGAAGAACGACAAAGATGGGCCTTGCAAGAAAGTCGAGATGAACGAGGACACATTAGACCTGGAGGACAATTGGTCAGATGATGTGTGGCTTGCTGTTCAATCACCTCTAGAGATTCCTTCTTCCACGGAGAAGACTAAGGTCCAGAATACCTCGTCTGAAGATCATGTTGAGAATTCATCCTATGGCCAATCTAGACAAAGGTAGGGTAGCAGACATCGGGGAGATGACCACTGGCTAACAATATTTTGCAGTGTGGAAGAGCCTCCTTTCATTGCAACTTCTGGAAAGAAACGAAAGTTGTCTTCAACAAATAACAACAACATGAAAAGGATCAAGTCAAATGGACAGCTCGTGGAAGAGGAATGCAACAAGGAGAATAGTCTACCGGAAGAGCTTCATGGAGTTGCATCTACCAAACAGGTTGTTGTGCCCAAAGGCTGGGAGGACATTGACCCTGCACTGCTGGCGGAGTTCAAAGATATCATCAACCTGTTTTAAAAGGATGAGAGGATGAGAGGATGAGAGGGACTCTGTGGTTTGCTGCATGATACTGTGTAGCTCTGCTTGTTTGTTGTGCCCGATAATAATCAGCTTCAATATAGCAGAGGATGGGTATTCATCGTTGAGGGGAACAACAGAGTCCAGCTTTAATATCGTAAAGAAGCTGAAGGTGTTTCAATATCTTCTCACTTCCCAAAGCAGCATACTGTTTCATTTTCGAATGTTTCAATCCATTCGATGGATCACGGGGTTCCTGTGGCGTCATCGGTGTATCTCTTTGAGACTCTCGCAGTGAATGTTATGAGAAAGAGAAGCAGGAGGAAAAGGAACATCTAGATGCCGAAATGATCCCAAATAAAGATGGGTTGTGATGTGAGGATTCTTGTCGTTCTCTACCTTCTCGTTCCATCAACACCATCTTTATCTCTTCTGTCTCTGTTCTCTCTATCCACATCAACACTTGTGGACTGGCGTTTTGAACACAGAGCTTCTGTCATCAAGAAAGGTATGTGATCCACCAAGCTGGTTGATATTCGGGTTTCCGTTCAGCTGCATATCCATGTTTGATGGCTGTGTTGGTGTGGATATCATATCTCCATCGATCTCTGATTCTCCCACCATCTACCGTTCTCATCCCCCACCTCCATCCACACGATCAGTTGCACAACACTTCAGGAAGAACTCCACAAGAAACACACTCAACTGTATAACTGTTCAGGTCTTTAGAGATGCCCTCTCCTTGTGTCTTTGATGAAGTTCTCTTTTCACCTCCCATGGCCTGCCTGCTTTTGAACAGGCATCAAGCCCTGAACGCGAGCGCGACCGTGTCCTGCAATGCCATCGATGATGGAAAGCATGACACTGAACCAGCTTGTTCCCCTTTCACCTTGCCCGACATCCTTTCTGTGGCTTCGCGTCTTCCAGTTGATACCAATCCATCTTGAGAGTGAGACATGTGCTGACTGCGGCCCACCCTGCCAGATCTAGCTGTGAGATCCGAGCCCCCAAGATGGGGAAGCTCAATTATCTCGCGGTGAGAGAACCCCCTTCTGTACAATCATGAATGATATACACTGCCATGAGCAAACAGGCTGGCTGATGATAGACATAACAGAGACGCATCAGCGGTCTCAAGGCCGGCCAAGCCGTATCCAAAGACCTGGTAAGTTTGACTGAACCCACCCCCATGGCAACAGAATCACCCAACGTCTCTGCAGAACGACACTCCCTGAACCTAATTTTCTAATCTGGGAACACAGAAAAAACGTTTCCCACCCGGTGCAGGTTCCAAATCCGCCGCACGAGACCCCTTCGTCGAGATCGACGTGACCGGCAAGGTGCTGACCGACGAGGGCCTGGCCCAGTTCATCGGGGATCTCGTGGACTGCCTCGAGTTCCGGGACCGGGAGCACCCCATGGGGCTGGCGAAAGTTACAGAGCTGCATCTGTCCGGCAACCGGCTGACCGTGGACTCGCTGCCGATGCTGGCGGAGGTGGTCAAGCGGAGCGCGGGTGATCTGCGCGAGCTAGATCTGTCCAACAACGACATCCAGATCACGACCCCCGACGCCGTCCGGAAGTGGGCGAATTTTCTGAACTCGTTCCAGAAGTGCTTTGTGCTGCGCAAGCTGGACCTGGGTGGTAATGCGCTCGGGCGTGCGGGGATCGAACACCTGGCGCGCATTTACATGAAATCGGACCTGGATTTCCTTGAGGGCGATGCGCACGAAGTGCTTGAGTGGGACTCTGAGGATGAGGAACACTCATCGACTCCGGAATCCATGGCTGAGGGTATGGCTCGATTGAAGGTCATAGCCGGTAAGGAGAACGAAAGCACTGCGCGAAAGAAGAAGTCCCCGTCTCTGCCCAAGCCGGAGCAGAAGAACGGTAAGTTAGGGTTCCCCTTCCACCATGTAAGGGCAGGACGATAAGCTGATATGCTTTTTCTTTTGTCTTTAGCTCATACGTACGCCGAATTGAAGAAATATGCCTGCACGCGTGGCCTTCGTTCGATCCCATATTTGATCCTCACAGACGTCTCGATGACGAGTCATAGTACCATTCAGCTGATTCCCATGCTCGACATTCAGCGTACCCCCGAGTCGCTGTTGAGCTTTCTTCCGGTAGTTGGCAAGGCGGTGGTGCTGCCTGAGAGTGCGGCATCGTGCAAAAGCATTATTTGGCGACCGAACGATAAGCTGACCCCTCATGTGCTCAGAATGATTGAGGTAGCCGAGGCTCTTCAGCAGCTTCGAGAATCCAAAGTTGAAACCGAACTCGAGGCAGCAGATCAGGGTGATAACAAGAACTTCGCGGAGACCAGCGACACCTCCAGCGAGACGAGCCAAGACCTCGATAGTGCTACCCACCAGAAGCTCCAAAGCAAACTGCGAACCGAATTCACTCGAGTGTGCAAACGCGTACGCCTCGAAGTTATCAGGGCTGACGGTGTGCACAGCAGCACAATCTGGAGCACCGCCTTGAGAATGATGCTTGTTGCGCGAGCTCTGCTTCTAGAAGACCGAGACCGTCCCATAGAATGCGAAGACAATGACATCCTAGAGCGGATGCCGGTCCCTCGACCCACCGAAGGCCCGGTAGTTTCGTTTCCCATGGACCCGGACAGCGATGATAGCTCCTCTGGCGAGCCCACCTACTACCACGTCGAGAACGCTGCGCCGTTTCACATACGCATCGCTCAGCCGGTGACTTCGGCGCCGCTGACCAGTTTTCTCCCAGTCCGACGCAACCATCTGAGTATCTCGGAGACCTCCGCAGTGAACGCAACCGGCCAACACTCCCGCTCTGCAAGTTCAGGTCCCTTCCATCCGAGTGCTGTTAGTTTCGACTCCCAGTTTCCCAATCTGCCGTCGGCAGCCCCGGGACCTTCTCCAGCACTCCGTATCCCGTCTGGCGACCTTTCTGACTCCAACCAAACCAGAAGGGGACCTCCGCCCTCTCAGCCCGCGGCGACTGCCACTCGAAGACGCACCATCCGCGACCTTGGCAAGCAGGAATGGCGCCATGATCTCCCTTTCAGTGTTTGGCGTCGGATCATCGCTGAAGCAGTCGGGGCCGATGGGATCCTGGACCTCGAGCAACAAACTCGCATCATGCACTACGCAAGTGACTGGGACGTCGTTGCTTATGGCGTGCAGATCAAGGGCACGGAGCTTCACCAGCAACTCTGGAAATTCCTAGAATCCGTGGACTGCTTCACCTACAGTCCCTTGTGAATTGGAAAGAGCCCTAAACATCACAGGGGCGAGTGAAGTGGTTTGCATCCGCAACGATCTAGTTCCCTATATGGAAGCTGTGTCGATAAGACAACAAGCAGGGTTGATGGAAAGAATTCGCGGATTTGAGATTTCGGGGACGATTACCTTCAGGGAAAGTTCGAGGAACGCGTGTGGTTGAATGAATTGTATCTAGTGTGCTAGATTTACTCGGGAAAGTGTTTGCTGGCCGGACATGCTGGGTGGTGATTTGGTGCTGACTGGAGGGACTCCGACCTGGGATGTGTTTTTCCACGGCTGATTTCGATGTCCAAAGTTCATTTCAATAGGCTTACCTTAACCTTTACTTTTAAGTACAAATATAAAAAAACAGGAAACAGCCCTTGATTGCTGATACCAAAAGAGTGCCCTTCGTTCTGCCCGCTTATCAGTCTTATCGCCCCACGTGATCTTTCTCCGATTTCCACCAGCTTCTCCAACGTCATTTCGCTGGGGTTTACTGTTACTTGTGAATAAACGAAGAAAACTAAGACTTAATTTGCCACATTTATAGATCTCGGCAGCATTTATTAGACCTGTTCAAACCCTCAACCCGGCCAAATTCCCATCCTCCAACTCTTACGCAAATCCATTCCACTTGTTAAAGTCCAGATCCAAACAAGATGCGCACGCGACGAACCAACACGCAACCAGTGGAAGACACCTCCTCGGTCGCCCCCGAAACCTTCAGCGACGGCCTCCCTCTCCCCAAACTGATCGCCTTCGACCTGGACTACACCCTGTGGCCCTTCTGGGTCGACACGCACGTCAGCGCCCCGATTAAACCCCGCGACAACAACTCGCGCTGCACAGACAAGTAAGCTCTCGCCTTGCCCCCTTCCCCCTTCCCCCTCTCCCCAAGCGCATCCCCAACCAAGGGCAACCCCCGAAACTAACACCTCTGATTAGATGGAACGAATCCTTCACCTTCTATCCGGCCGTCCCCTCCATCATCCACAGCTGCAAGACCAAGAACATCCCGCTGGCCGTGGCCTCGCGCACCCACGCCCCGGACCTGGCGCGCGACATGCTGAAGGCGCTGCACATCATCCCCACCTTCAGCGACAACCCCGCCGCGCACCGCACCAAGACCGTGCGCGCCCTCGACTACTTCGACCACCTCCAGATCTTCCCGGCCACCAAGACGCAGCACTTCGCTAAGATCCAGCAGGCGAGCGGGGTCGCGTACGAGGAGATGCTGTTTTTCGACGATGAGGCGCGGAACCGGAATGTGGAGACGGAGTTGGGCGTTACGTTTTGTCTGGTGCGCGATGGGGTGACGAAGGCGGAGGTGGATCGGGGGGTGTGGGCGTGGCGGAGGAGGAATGGGATTAAGAAGGAGGTGGTTGGGGAGGGCGAGGGGGAGGGGGAGGGGGAGGATGAGTAGAAATGAGGTGAGTTGAGATGAGGTGTTAGTTGGGGGGGGGGTTAAATGGGATGCATGTTTTTAGATAGATACCCGGTTTGGGATTGGATATGATCACATCAAATGGTTTTATAGACAAGTTGTACTTCTGGAAACTCGTGTGCTGCACAACTAGAATCGGCCATCTACTACGTAGACCCCTCAAGTGCGGGCAGGCCAGCAAGCCAGCAAGCCGGCCCGCATATCGGAACCCACTCCGAATCTCCGCAATCTTATCTTTTTACCAGTCGCAGCTTAGCTTCACAACAACAACAACAAACGCATACCTACAATTCCTCCTCTCACTCAACAACCACCAAACAAACCTACACCACCTCTCAGCCATTGGCAACCATTGACACTTTTCCACAAAGCAACCAGACACAACAAAAATGGACACCCGCCCACAACTACCAACCCACCTCAAACCACCCCCCCCTCAATCTCAACCTCACCACCAGAACCAACCACAACCACCACACCAGCAGCAACAACAACAATCCCACCACAACCACCGCCCCTCCAACCCAGCATCACCTACCCCAACCCGCCCCCCACTAGCCATCCACCCCAGCGCCCAAATCTCCGACACCACAATCTTCCAAGGCACGCACCCGATCTCCATCGGCGCCCACACCATCATCCACCCGCGCGCCCGTCTCTACTCGCACGAGGGCCCCATCCTCATCAGCAACAACTGCATCATCAGCGAGAAGACCGTCATCGGCACGCCTGGCCCCTTCCCCGGCGCCTCAAGACCTGCCCCCTCCACCACAGCCATAACCACAACCACAAGCGAAGGCACGGCAGCAGCAGCAGCAGCAGCAGCAGCAGCCCTCCCCATCCGCATCTCCTCGCGCGTGACCATCGGCCCCGCGGTGTCCATCGCCCCCGGGGCGCATATCCATTCCGGCGTGGTGATAGATGCGCTGGCCGTGATTAATCGGCGGGTGGATGTGGGGGCGCATGCGAGGGTGTGTGCGGGCTGTGAGGTTGCGGCGGGGACGGGGGTGGGCGAGTGGGTGGTTGTTTGGGGCTGTGGGGGTGGGGGTGGGCAGCGGAGGAGGAGGAGGGAGACGCGCGGGGTGGTTTGGGGGGCGTTGCATCAGCAGCAGCGGGATCAGTTGAATAAAGTTGATGGTGGGGGCGAGAAACCCGGGAATGCGCCGTTGGAGGCCAGGACGTTGGAGGATGCGCGGTTGATGGTGCTGGATTTGGAGAGGGAGGCGGTGGGGAGGTTGTTGGTCGCTCAGAATCGGAGGAGGGGATGAGATGATACTTCAATCCCCAAAGGTCATAGCTAGAAGGGGATGAGGGCGGGGGGCGTGGGATTGATTCATGGACGGTGTGGATTTTCAGCGAGATGCACGGTCGTTTTCTTTTACAGTTGGTTATACCCGGATAGATTGTGGGATTTTGCCTACTCGATTCAATACTTGTTGACTCTTAATGACACCTAAGCATCCAGTATGGGCTCTGGGTATTTCAACACCTCCAATGTATCCAGTCGGATAGACAAAAGAAAAGTATGATTCTCATCCCGCTAAGGATTACAACATTCGTAGGTTCACTTCGGGCTCCCTATAAGCCGAAGAATTGGGACATAAAATACATGCATGTATAAAAAAAAGGAACGAAAAGTCAAAATGTAACAATCACAATCGACAATCACAATCATCTAGGAGCCCCGAGTTTGACCACCACCGCCACCACGCATTCTCTTGCCAGCTGCTCCATCTCCGCCGTCTCCGCCGCCATCATCCCGAGCGCGCTTGTTGCCTTGAGGAACAAACTGACGCGCGCTCGCACTGAGCGCGCCGCCACGACCACCGCCAGGACTGGCCGGGCCCTGCTGCGACTGGCCGAGATTGGCTGTCTGCACGTTCTGATTGCCACCCCGGCCTTGGCCTCCACGCCCTCCACGGCCGCGAGGCAGACCCGAGCCGCGCTGGCTAGGCTGGCCTTGACCCTGACCTTGCTGCTGGGCCTGACCCTGGCCCTGTTGGCCTTGTTGACCAAAAGGATTCTGCTGACCGCCGCCACGCCCGCCGGTTCGACCACCGCGCGCAACTGGAAGTCCCGACTGGAGAGCTCTTAAGACGCCACCTGAGGCAGCACCAGCTGGAGGTTTGTTGGGAAGCGACGCTGGCTGTTTGTTCTGACTTTGTCCGAACGGATTGGGCGCTGCCCCGGCCGCACCCTGCTCAGGGGCCGTTTCGTTGACTGCTTGTGTCTGCGGTGCTTCCGTCTGCGGGAGTGCTTCTGATTGTGTCGGAGCCTGAGCTGATGGCTGGGCAGCTGTTGCTTCTGCAGCGGGTGCCTGGGTGCCCTGCTGGGTGGCAGGTGCAGGTGCCGATGCAGACGCAGGCGCAGGTTTTGCTGCAGGCGTCTCTGCCAGCGCTGGGGTTGGTGAAGGGGCTGCGCGTGCCGGTTGTGCTGCTACTGTGGCAGGCGACGGTGCTGGTGCTGGAGATGCTGCAGCCTGTGCGGGTTTGGCTTGCGCTTGAGCGGCCGGGGGTGCTCTGGTCACCTTAGCTATCTCCCAAACCTCGACAACAGGTCTTTGAGGGGTCTCCGTGGCCGCCTTCTGCACCACGTCGAGCTTGGCCTGCGAATTCCTGCACCGAGAATCAAGCATACTGAGCTTGGCAAGGGACTTCTTGTCCGACAGCTCCACAGCAGCCTTTATCTTCTCCTCCACACTTTCCTCGTGGGCCTTCTTCAAGGCCTCCTTCTCTTCGTCAAACTTCTGCTGCAAGGCAGCCGCAGCTTCCGAATTCTGCTGGGTGCCTCGCTTTTCAGCTTCCATTTGTTTGCTAACCTGCGCACGAATGTTGTTCCGAATGATCATCTTGATGGTTTCATTCTTCGCAACCAGGTCCCTTGCTTGGGCATCCGTCAAGTCCGGAAGTCCACCTTCCATCGCAGGAGTAGCGGATGCTGCGGGGGTTGCAGGAGCTGCTTCTGCTTGGGTCTGACCAGGGGTCGTAGGAGCTTGTGGACTTGCCTGTAGACTGGCCTTGAGTCGCTCCACCTCCTGGCGATGTGCCGCCCGAGTCTCTGCCAACTTGCTGTTCAACACCTCCTTCATCTTGTCGATGCGTTCCTTGACCTTCCTCTCGTGCTCGATATCCTTGGCAGCCAATACAGCATCTTTTTCGGCAAGGGCTGCCTCGAGACGTTGTACCTTCTCTTCCAAAGCCTTCACCCGTTCGTCGTCGGTGGCAACAGCCACTTGCGTGGTAGGAGCAGGGAATTGCGAGGCGGGGGTCGAGTTGACTTCAGTCGTCGCTTCGATTACTGGTGCAGGGGCAGCCGGCTTCTCCGCCATCTTCGTCTTGAGTTCCTCTAATTCTTGTTTTGTCTTGGCCAGTTCCTCCTGGATCACCTCCTTCTCCTGTGCAACCGTATTCAGTTCCGCCTGCTTAGCGTTGATACGACCGGTAAGTTCCTTAGACCGAGCCTTAAATTGCTCCGTAAGCTTGCTGCGCAACTCTTGGACCCTATCCTCAGCATGTTTGAGCTGCTCAGGGAAGGCAGCGGCCTCAGTTTGCAGAGTGTCACGAGCTTGAATCGCCTCATCACGCTCCTTTTCCAGGGTTGCAAGCTTCTCCTTGAGTCCTTCCATTTCAGCAGGGTCAACGCGGTCATACTTCTGCAGAATGTTCTGAGTACGTTGCTGCCAGCGATCACGGTCAGCTTGCAGCAGCTTCAATTCTCCGTCCTTCGTCTCCACCACATTCTCCAATTCCCTAACCTTCGTTTCCAAAGGCTCAATCTGTTGCACCAATTCCTCAATGCGTGCAGATTTCTCCGCAAGTGACGATTCTGCCTGCTTGACCTGATTGCGCAACGTGACACTGCTCTCGCGGAACAGATTCAACTCGTTCAAGGTATCCATAAGTTTGTTGTGGCTTAGAGCGGTGTGGTCGCTATCAGCAGCAGCGCGACGCTGTTGCTCTAGCTTGAGACGTGCCTCATCGAGCTGAGACTGCGTGTACTCAAGTTGCTGACGGAGACGCTTGCTCTCTTGTGTCGATAGATGATACTGCACGTCAACAATCTCTTTCTCCCTGCGCAGGAATTTGATCACTTCCTGAAGGCCTTCAAGGTTGGGTGGTGAATTTTCAGCATTATCGTCATCGGATTCGGTCATGTTCGCGCGGTCACGTTGCAAGGCTGAGATTTGGTTCGTGATATTCTCAAGCTGCGAGTGTAGCAGAGAGTTTTGATGGAGAACCTCTTCCCTACGTTTCTGTAGATCGGTAATTTCACCCTCGTATCTCTCCTTGAGCTCGTTCCAGCTTTCCTCCTTCTGAGAAAGGTCCTTCTTGAAAGTCTCAGCTTGAGTCCGTAGCTCGACCACTTCCAGCTTAAGCTGATTAGCTTCAGAGCGCACAATCTGCAAGTTCTTGGCTGCCTCAGCGTGCTTGACCAATTCACTCTCGTAGTTCTGTTGGGCATGCTGCGCAATCTCAGTCTGCGCGCGGAGATCTTCCTTGTGGTACTGGAAGGCAGAGTTATGACGCTCATTCTCATCTTTTAGCCTGGCAATTTCAGATTCCAAGACAGCCTTCTGCTCCTCCAAACGGCGGCCAGCCTCTCCTTGCTCATCACGCAGCTTGGTGAGTTCATTGTTCGTTGTAGACAACTCGGAAGAAATCTCCTCAATGCGCTTTTCGAGATCCTGGATCTTCTTGTCCTTCTCCTCGATCAGACGCTCTGTCTCCTCCCGATAGTCTTCATGTGTCTCAGTCACAGACTGTAGGCGTTCCTCGCTCTGCTGGCTGATGGCCTTGTAGTCCTCAACTCGCTCTTCAGCATGCTGAAGCTCATTCTTGGCCAGGTCCAAGTCACGTTTGAGTTCGGAGACCTCGATGCTAAGTTCTTGCTCACGGGTCAAGCCAGACTCCTGACCTTCCTCGGTCTCGGGCGCTGTGGCGGGGGCAGCAGTAGCGGCAGCAGAAACACTCGGTCTGGATTGGACGACTTGGAGTCGCTCTTCGGCACTGCGAAGCTCGACGGTCAATTCATCCACTCTCGACTGCAAGTGATCTCTGGTTGTCTTGGTGGCGATCAATTCTTCCCGGACGGAGCCCAAGCTTGTGACCAAGTCATCAATCCGCTTCTGACTCTGCTCATGCTCATACTCTCTGCGCAAGGTCGCCTTCTTTGACTCCTCAATCTCATCGTTGAGTTTGCGTTTGGTAGACTGCAGTTCTGACTCCAAGGATTCAACGCTTTGCTGTAGCCTGCGGCGGCTCTCGGAGTCTGTATGTTCACGCTCGTTCAGGATATTTTGAAGGTTGGCATTCAGAGTATCCAGGCGACTTCTCTCGTTTCTCAGAGTTTCGTTGTCTTCAATCAGTCGCTTTTCGATACTCTTCCACAGATCCTTTTCTGCCTTGAGGTTCGCGTTCTCGCGCTGAAGGCTTTCCACCAGTCCCTTAGTTTCAACGAGGTCTTCGGCAGCTTGTTGGGTCCTAAGGTCTTGCCTGTTGGCGTTCTCCAGAAGACTGGCGTAGCGTTTCTGCAGCTCGGCATTTTCGCTCTTCAGCATGTTGAAGTTGCTCTGGAGAAGCTCGGCTCTTTGGGTAGCAGCGCCAAGCTGACTGCTGGAACGGCTGATTTCGCTCATCAACTCGCTGTTCTTCCGCGAAAGCTCATTGACCTGTTGTTTCAGAGCGGCGTGATCGGTAGCAGACTCCTCGCGGAAGTTGTCGAAGTGGGCTTGAACCTTGCGTAGTAGTTCGGCATAGTCGGGGATGTCCTTAGCCTGTTCGTCGGCTGCTCCAGGAGGAACTGCCCCTAGTGGAAGAGACTGAGAGAAGACAGAAGCATCGCCAACGGTCTGACGGCGACGGGTCAGCATGCTTCGGAAAGTATCTCTCTCTTTCACATAACTCTTTGTCTGAGCAACAAGGTTGGAAATTTCGTCGCGATAAGTCTGCACGCGAATTCTGAGTTCCTTCAACTCTTCTTGCTCTTGTTGACGAATAACATCCTGCTCGCGAGCCTCCGCACCTTCCATCTTATCGCCCAACTCTCTCAGCATGCGGCGGAGAGTAACATTCTGTTCCTGTAGCTCATGGAGATCCTTGAAAGTCGTCAGGTTGCGACTGATAAAGCGTCCCGTTGGGTTAAGATCTGCAGACGAGTCATCAATCTCCTGTCGAGCAATCTTCTCGAGCTCTTCCCGATCGTAACTCTCCTCTCCTTCCTTGAGAATCGCGTTCTCCATCACGAGGACCTTCACTTGCGAGCTCAGGTCCCTAAGCTGCTGTCGTAGAATGTCGCCCTCGCGCGCGAGTCCCTCCACCTGTCCTTGCCATTTGCGTGCCTCCTTTGTCGCATCATCCCTCTCCTTTCCAGACGTTTCAAGGATGTTGGACATTTCCATAACGGCGTTCTCCAGTCTGGCGTGGTCGGCTCGCAATTCATCAATCTCGGGCTTACTGGCCTCGAGATCCTGGACCATTTCATCCAGCGTCGACCGGAGCTCTTGGTTGGATCTTTGTTCGGCGGCCAGCAATGACCGCATCTTGTCGTATTCGGTGTAAAGTTGTGTGATCGTAAGTCCACCCTTGGTTCTCGAAGCTCTCGGGGAGAAGGTTCCAACCGGTGTACCTGAGCGGATAGGCGTAGTGGGCATACCTCCATTGAGAGCCGGGCTCATGGATCTCCTTCTAGCCTGGCCGTCCGACTCGAGTTGGCTCACGGTCTGCTCCAGCTCTGCAATGCGGCGTTCCGCGGCCTCCTTGTCAGAATGTTCAGTCTCGATCTCAACACGAAGGCGGGAGATCTCTTCGGCCGCATCGTCCTTGGCCTTTTCCAGGGCAACCTGGAGTTCCTGCACCCGCTGCTTGGCGGTTTCGGAAGAGTTGCGTTGCAATTCAGCCAGCCTATTCGCACTATCCAATTCAATTCGGAACGACTCGCTCGCTTGTATCGCCTCTTCTTTCAGCTGCTGGATGCTCGAAAGGGACTCTTCGTAACGCTGTTCGACCTCATCCAAGCGACTCTTGAGAGCATTCTCACTGCGCCTCAAGGAGTCAACGGTGGCGCTAGCTTCTTCATTCGCTCGCTGCAGCTCTGAGATGCGGGCGCTCTTCTCCTTGCGGAACTTCAGGTACTCTGCAGACTTGGTCTTCAGCTCAGTGTCTAACCATTCATTACTCTTCTTGGTCAACTCGAGGTCTTGCTGGAGACTTTGCTCGCGGAACTTGGCGCTAGCAGATGCAGAGTTGGCGGCTTGAAGGTTCTGTTCGGCGGTAGATAGTTCGCGTCTCAATTCGACAGTTTTCTTGTGTTGGGCTGACAGCTCTTCGGCGAGCTTGTCGTACGCTGTCGTCTTCGATTCGAGCAGAGCCATGGTATCACGATTCGACGCTTCCAGAGAGGAGATGCGGGATTTCAGTGTGCTCACTTCGGATTCATTGGTTGTAGAGGACGACTTGAGCGAGGCGATCTCGGATTCTAGGGACGATCGAGCATTTTCTGTAGTGTGTTAGCAAGGAAAATCAGTCAATTACCATGGCATTCTATCTAACCTGACTCATGAAGCTTCTTCCTTGTTTCTTCAACCTCAGCATGGCCCTTCTCGATAGAGCTCTTCAGCACCTTGACCTTGCTTTCGCTGCTGCGGACAGCATTGTCAAGCTCCACTTCCAAGCGGGTCTTGTCTGCTTTGAGTTCATCGTGTTCGCGGGCCTTCTTGGAGATGGCCTCCAGAAGTTGGTTGACTAATTCGACAGTTGGAGCTTGGGTGAGCGTCGAAAGAGTCGATTCGGCGATGGAATAATGAGCCGATATGAACGGCAGTTCAATTGTTGCGGTAGCCATGGTTGCTGCTAGATGTTGGCAGCAATCAAGCTGCTAACCGTTGTTTCAAAAGCAAATATATCGTAAAAAGTCGACGTGATCTCTGCTCAGAGTGAATGGTGATGTAGGCAAAGCTACGTCGGTCAGGCGATGTTACCGCGCGTTGCGGACACCGTCGGGAATAGTTGCGCACAGCACCCCAAATGACAGCCTAGGTCATGAGGGGCGAAGGTGAGACAGAGATAAAGAGTGAAGAGGCTGACAGAGGAAGAGCGAAAAGAAGAGAAAGCCCCCTGTCGCGCAATAGGTGAGATGAGAATGATTGAGTGACCGGCTTGCAGGTCAAGCAAGTTACGCATTGGCTTTGGGCGGAGCTCCAAACAGGTTAGCGCAGCTGGCTACTATTTGATCACGTGCTACAGTGGTGCCTGAGCGGGCCGCAAGGCCGCAACCTGCAATGTCAGAACTTCTAGATCCGTGATGACGAACACTCTCATCTCCCTCTTCAGCTCATTCATCCTGTCATTCTCAACCACACGGGTTGTTGCATCGGAACAGAGCCGACTTCTTTCATGCTTCTGTGATCTATTGTCGGGTCGCGAAAAGAGCTTCTTTGTGCTCCCTCACAAAGAGAGAGGCTTTGCCTCGTCCTTGTTCCATCTCCCCACCTTTAGGAGTCTACTCGACCTCCGGGCTTGCTGCGGTCAACCCCTTCTCTCGTTCATTTCCCCGGTCCACACTAAGCTGCCTTCTTCGCCGTCTCGATCGCAAACATGTCCTATCTTCAGAACCAGCTGAAGAGCTTCAACGCCAGCGTCGTTGACTCTGCGAGTCGACTGGGACAGCAGAGACGCTTCAACCATAATAACAACACGACCACCTCCGCAAGCAGCTCGCAGCTTCCTTCCTCGACATCGACACCCACTCCGGGCGGCGGAGATCGCAAACGCCACGATGAAATCGTCTACTCTCAGCCCGCCAACACCGGCACGGGCAAGGACATCATGACGCAGGTCATCTTCGCGATTGAGCACATGAAGTCGAAAGGCGTGCCGCTCAAGTTCCCGGACATCATCTCCTACCTCTCCCTGCAACACCGCGCCAACGACCAGGGCTACGTCCAGGCCCTGCGGAGCATCCTGCAGGTGCACGACAAGGTGCAGTACGACCCCCGCGGCGCCAACGGCGAGGGCACCTTCAGCTTCCGACCTCCGCACAACATCCGCAGCGCGGAGCAGCTGCTCAAAAAGCTGCAGACGCAGTCCACGGGTGCGGGCATGAGCGTCCGCGAGCTGCGGGAGGGGTGGCCAAACGTGGAGGAGACGATCAACCAGCTCGAGAAGGAAGGGAAGCTCTTGGTGACGCGGAACAAGAAGGACGACCATGCGAAGATGGTCTGGGCCAACGACCCGTCGTTGATCCAGCAGTTCGACGACGAGTTCCGGTCGATCTGGGAGAAGATCAAGATCCCGGACCAGCAGACCGTCAAGGAGGAGCTGGAGCGCGCCGGCATCGTCCCCACCAACAAGAACAAGGTCGTCAAGCAGCGGCCCAAGATCGAGCACAAGAAGGTCAAGAAGCCTCGCCGCAGCGGGAAGACGACGAATACCCACATGATGGGCGTTTTGCGGGATTACTCTCACCTGAAGCGGTAAAGAGTTCGTGCAATCGGTGTTGCTCCCTGACAGTCCGTCATCGCTCGCTTGCTTGGCTCTTCTAAGTGAAACAAAAAAGAAAGACCACGAGTCTTCAAAAATGCATAACGAGATTCTCTTTCCTCATTTTCATTGTTTTTTTTACTCGAACATCGCATTATACTGGCGTTTGGTGGTGAAACATTAGACTCAGGAAAGGATATACTTCTGATTTCTCTGCTGTTATTAGGCAGATCTTATCTGCGCTTGGTCATGTTGTTCTTCTGGCGATCTCTATCGCCCTCGATGTATACTATAAAGGCAAAAATCGATACCCAGCTAATTTAAACAATTGTATGAATAATGGACCTGATGCTCGTGTTGATTCTCTCTTTTATCTAACAACGACTCCTCCGATACTCATGAAACCGTGCAAATCGGCCTTGAAGATAGAATCTAATTTCTCGTTTCCTCACTTGTGTCACCCATACGCAAACATGCCACCGAGCCGCGCATAATGCAATGAACCACAAATCACAGAGCCTAGTTCCTGATGTACAACCGAACAGGGGAAAAAATCACTCAGAAGAATTTATACAACCGTCAAAGGGAATGAAACCACAACTAAACCTCTCAACCCTGTTTTGCTTCTGCGTTCGTGTTCATTGATCCCCGTTCGTAAGACCACCTTCCGTCTTCTCTACATAGTCGACCAGATCCTCGATCGTACAGACCTTGATCCCCCACTTCTTGCCGAAGCGCAGACAGCCATCGCGTCTCATCATGCCATTGTTGCCCCGGATCTCCGGCACCCCCTCGACCAGCTCGCCGTCCTCAACGAGCTCCGCGATCACACCTGCGGGGACCTTGCCCGTCAACCGACAGAATTCCACCGCCGCTTCTGTGTGGCCTCTACGCTCGCGGACACCGCCGCTGCGGGCCTGTAGGGGGATGATGTGGCCCGGTCGTCGGAAATCGTCGACGCGGGCTGTCGGGGAGGCGAGGGTGCGGCAGGCCAGAGCACGGTCTTGTGCGGAGATCCCGGTGGTGACGGACGGGTCGCTCGAGTCAATGGAGACTGTGTAGGCGGTGCCCTTGGGATCCGCGTTTTCGAGCACCATCTGCGGGAGGGCCAGGCGTTGGGCAATTTCAGGGGTGACGGGGGCGCAGATAAGACCGCTGATATGGGAAAGATGTCAGGTCAGTTTGGGGTTCTTTCAAATCCTGGCAAATAGTGGGTTTCTTGAATGCAGCTTGAGGGGTCTGGTGCCTGCGTCGGGGGGGTTAGCGGGACAAGGAGGGGTTGTCTATTTCTCACCTCGTGTACCGGACCAGGAAGGCCATCTGGGCGTCGGTGATAGACTCGGCGGCGATGATTAAGTCACCTTCATTTTCGCGATCTTGGGAGTCGAGGACAATAATGAACTCGCCATTCTCTGAAGCGCAATCGAGCGGTTAGTTCGCGATGCGATTCCGCACAATACCAGCAGGCGCCTGCGAGCACGCGCAGTGTTCAGGGGTTTTGAGAGGGAGAGCGAGAGACGCACTGAAAGCGGCAAGGGTGTCTTCGATGGAATCGAACTTCAGACTAGAATCCGACAGTGCAGCCATAGTCAATGTGTTGTGTGGAATTTAAGGTGAGGAGGTAGTTGGATCTGCCCCTCTATGCGGAATTGGAGGCGGGGCAATTATGGCAAGACGAGGAGAGGCGAAGCGAAACTCGTATTCAAGAGGCTTCTGGTGTGTTTAGAGTCGGGACGGAAGAACCCAATTTTGAGTGATACAACGCAGATATATGAAGTCGGGTCCAAATTGAACAATTATAAGTTGCAATTGCGGAGTGAACACCCGATCACAAGGCGAATGACTCTATCTCGGCCGGAGATGAGGCGCGGGGCGGACTTTCGGAAGCTCGGGTTCGGAGATGGCAAATGGAGGGTCGAGGAAGATCAATCGAGATGTGATCGCGTTTTGGATATTGTTTTCCTGCGTTAGTATAATGAGGCTCAAGGATTTGATATACTCTGTAAGGACTCAAAGTAAAATTGTACCGGAGTAGCTTCTAGTCAGGGGAGATGTACAAAGAAGACTAAAGAAAGTCTGAAGAAGAGGGAGCGATCACTAATGGTTTGTCAGATGCCGGTCATGAGCGGGTGATTCGCCGAGGCCTCCAGGCGGCTGTCTTTGGCCGGGCCCGGAAGCGGCCGCCTTTCTCAGGCAGGGAAAAGGCATTCATCTCTAATACCCTGCCTCGTTCTCTGGCAAGTGGCCATGAACATCTCTGGGAACCTGAAGGGGTCCTGGCAATCGGCCTCTTGACAGATCACCATGTACAGTAAGTGTTGAATCCTTCCTGTTCCTGAAAATGCGCGCACATTCTATTAACCATCTCTACCGGTAGTTGACCTCTATCAGCCATTATGACTCCTTGATCCCTCCCTCTTTGCGCATATCTTCGTGTCGCTAATTGCAGCAGCGCTCCACGGGGCTCTTATTCCACGTCGGAGTGGTCTTGGTCAACTGAAGGGTGATGCGTCAAAGGTGTTTTCATAAACCCAGCAGGCAGCCATTCAGCTATGGGTACCTGTGGCGCCTCACAACTAATTGCTGTCGTACTGATATCGGATGGGCTACGTTGGGTTCATAACAGCACGGTACATCTCGGCCAGGCTCTGCGCCTCCCCAATGTAAAATCGAGGCTCTCGCAATGCTGTTCGCTTACACCACCCCGGCCTATGTCGGTGCTGGAGGAGCTTGCTGTGAAGATCCAACCGCTTGTTGATGCCTCGGGCCACTAGAACTGCTGACGTTTGCTAGTATTAGAGTGCCATTTAGATTGCCTTGTAAAGGTTTGACTCCCTGTAGAACTACCAACCACACCTATAATTATTATGGTAGTCTGTATCTAACTGTAACGAGGTGTATGTATACTTGGGATAGCCTCCTGCATGGGCCCTGCACGTGATGCGGGTCTAGAATCCGGACTGTGGAGAGCAATGAATGGAGCCCCCCAACCCCCAAGAACGCAAATCATAATACTTATGGCCTTTGCTTACACCCCATCGCACAAGCCAGATGAATCCCCTTCCGCCCTCAATGGTGTTGCTGGTTCTCCCTCTGCCTCACTCATGGAGAAACTCCCCGTAGAGATCCTCTGTGAAATTATTGATTGTATGCAGGTAGTCCCCTTTCCTCCCTCTCCTCCCTTACTAATAATTAAGAATCCCCACACCCAAACACCCTAACACCCAAACATCAGCCCCTCCATCCGAGTGCTGCTGCTAGTCTAAAGTCGCAGAGCTCCCAACAACAACATAAGCGAAACAAGCTAACGAACCCATCCAGACCTAACTCCACATGAGCGGGTACAACTTCAATCTGTTTCAAAACGGTTGTTTCTGGTCGCCCGTGACAATAATCTCTGGAGACTCCACTGCTACGAAGAGTCATGGAGCGCCACGCGAGCCTCTCGTTCCGCTAATGGCCACGGCTCCGAGAGCCTTGTCACCATCTCTACCGCACCGCTGAGTGTCCTAGGGCAGACTACCCTTCGATCCCTCATTCAGCCCCATGCTGGGAATGACGGGGTTGGTGCTAAACCATCCGATCGGGCGCCGTCGTTTGGTCTCCGATCGCGAGCGGCCACGGAGTGGGACCCGTCGTACGAGGGTGAAGATGTGAACTGGTACTCGGAGTATATCGCACGGAACGGGCCTATCTCGCTCAGCTGGATGCAGCGCCCGTTCACAAGGGTGGAAGGCCAGAAACGAAGGGTGTATCGTGAAGCAAAGGGCATGGGGCTGCTGCGAGACTGGAGCTCAGCCAGGGAAAACAAAGTCATCGCTCCTCTGGACGATGGCAGTGTTTGCATTTGGGACCTCAACCACTCCCACTCGATTGGGTCTCAAGAGACCAAGGGTAAGATGATTGGCGTCAGCGCCCCGGGCATCTTGATGACGAACCTATCTGGCAGGAGGGACCACGCCGCGGCAAAACAGTCTCTGGAATATGTGAATCTTGGGGAATGTGTGAGCGTCGACTCCATTCGTCGAAGGGCTTATCTAGCCGTGGGAAATGTCCTGAACGAAGTCGATCTGGAGACCTTGCGGGTGGTCTCTCAACAACGCTATCCTTGGTCCGTGTTCGCCTTGTCCCAGGAAACGGACTATTCCGTGCCGTTGACACTCGCTACGACGCTGAGTCTACACATCTACGACGGTCGATTGTCGGCAAGCGAGGAGGAAGAAGCCATTAACCTACGATGCGAAGAGCCAACTGTTTCGTTGGTTCCAAAGTCACAGCTGTACGCTCCGCCCGACTCGCCGCTTCTGCAACTGCAACCTGACGGCCGACCTCCGCACCGTATCAGAAGCCCGGGTCCCTCACAGAACACCGACGATTATGCACCGCTCTTCCAACCAGGGCCCCTCTCATTGCTGCACCCCCCAGCGCCGCATGTTCACTCGATCTTCCTCGCCGGCCGCTTCCCAAGCATTCTTCAGTACGACCGCCGATACTTTCCGCGGCTGCAAAACACAATACACTCCGGTGGTCAGCTTTGTGGCCTTGCAGCCGTTCCCGCGCCACGATTTCCCATCTCCGACTCAAGCTTCCCCTCCTCACACAAGCTAGTTGCCTGTGGCGACTATAAAGGCAGAGGGTCACTTGAATTGTACAACCTCGCCCCATCCAACGACAGCGATATGATCAACTCGTCCGGGTCGTCGTCTGTGGTGTCGACGATGTATCACAACCGCCAAAGTGTCGCCAGATCCAAGGTACTATCCGTTGAATCCCACGGTACCCGCATTGTATATTCGGATGGGGATGGGAATATCAAATGGGTGGAGCGTGACGGCCGGTCCGAAGTCCGTCGCCTCAACATCAACAGCTACCAACCCCCACACCATCACCACCACCACCACCATCATCATCATCATCATGGTCACCACCATCATAATACTCGAGTAGGTTCCTCCCACCGCCGCCACCACTCCAGCGAAACTGGACACCAGCCACGAGCAGCAGACGGCGACACAGACCTCGCCACCGGTCTGTGGGGCTTGTCCCGATCCCACAGCGAAGGCGAGGTCGCCCGCAAGATCCTCCCCACCGGCGGCAGCCTGACAGGTGACGAGCTCCTCGTCTGGACAGGCGAACACATCGGCCGAGTCCGATTTGCCTCCGCCAGCAGTGCGGATTTCGAAGACGAGGACGACGAGGACGACGACATGCTGATGGACATGGACCTGGATGATGCTGCGCGCGAGGAGCTCCGAGCCAAACGACGAGAGCTACGTCGTCGAGAAAACGAATACGCGAATGCGATGCGCAGGGCGCTGGAGAGGCAGGCTGATGAGGTGCGACGCATGGGAGGACTTGGCCTTTAGATTGATGAGAATCATGCCAAATCATCCCTTAAACACGATATCTCAACCGACTAGCATTTGTTTTGATACCATTACATTCTCTCTACCTCTCGTGCTTTAGCGGACGAGTCCGGCGGGTCTTATGGATTTTCCTCGCCCGTGTGTGTCGCTTGAACTTTGGCTTTGTATGTACCCTGCTGCTCGTTTACCTGCATGATAGACCGCTTGGCTTTGGTTGATTTGCTCTCTTGCTGCCGATGTTGCGACGTATAGAGTCTTTTGGTACAAAATCCAGCATTTGCCTCGAATTGTAAGAATTACTAAGGTGCTGAGACTGCAGTGTTGCAGTTGAGATACAGAGGCATCCGCCAGGGGGAGGGGGGGTTGGAGGGAGGGAACCTTGAAACATCACTCGAGCCAGCCGTGACTGCCTGTCCCTAAACTTGAATAATCATCATATCTAATAGTCGAGACATCGCTAGCAACCACAAAGAGGAAGAAATAAAATTGTAACGGTGTGATGCTAGCTTGATTTCCATTTTTGTGGCCAAATCCTAAATCCCACACTCCAATCCCATCATTATTGCATAAATTCGTACATTAAACCATAAGGCCATAGCCCGACGGAACTCGACAAACACACAAACCAACAAAAGCTTCAATGCGGAAGAATACCCACTAAGTTTCAGGTATATCAGCTATCAGGCTTGTACACGGCGTCCTTGCAGAGCACCGCGACCTTTTTGAAGAAGCGCCTCCACTCCAGCGGGTCGCCCTTGACTTTCATGAATTCGATCTCGAAGAGACCCTCCGACACGCAATCGATCAGGACCTTGCCCTGCAGCGTACACATGCGCCCGTCGCGGGTGATGATCCGCAGCGTGGCGGAGGTATCCCCGGCGGACACGGCGGGCACGGCGGGCACGGGGACGCCCAGGCGGTGCAGCGCCTCGCAGATCAGGGGCACTAGGATTTTGAGCTCCCACGTGGAGAAGAACCGCGTCATGGCACGAGCGGGCACGATGTCGTGGAAGCGGATGGCCTTCTGGGTTCGACTCAAGGGTACGGAGGGGTGTGGGGAGAATTGCGACATGGACGGTTCGTCCTCCAGGTGGTCGAGGGGCAGGGGGTCGTTCTTCCCGAACAACAACGACGGTCTGCCCATGGGCTGGGTGAAGGAGAATGCATCCGCCACCTGCGGCGTGTCCCAATCCACCAGCATACCCCCGCGCGGCATTTCCGGCTGCGTGGATGAGATCCTTTGATCGGCGGCGTCGAATTCGTCTCCCATGTCCATTGGGTCTGTGGTCCGTTCGAAGCCCTGGCTCCCGCCGCCGCCGTGCGGCTGCGCGAAGGGGTCTTGCGAGAAGTCGATGTGCAGAGACTCGAACATAGTCGTGGCCATGTTGATAGTGTCTCTGAGCGTGCCATTGCGTGACAGGTATTTGTTCGGCCGGGTGTACCAGGGGTGTCTGCGGACGTCCTCGAGAGAGAATCGATTGGCTGGATCCACATTCAACATGCCGCGCAGGAGGGAAAGCGTGGCGGGCGGTAACTGCTGCCACAGCTCGTCGGTCGTTCGCCCGTTGGTGGCAAGGTATTCTTGGTACTCGTAGCTCGTCTCCGTCGGGCTGTCCCACGGGGTGTTGCCAGCCAGGAGCACGAACAAGACGATGCCGCACGACCAAATATCCACCAGGTCTGGTCGGTAGCCTCTCCCTTTGGTTTGACTCCTGCTACTGCACGAGATCACCTCTGGCGCGATATACGGCGGGCTACCGCAGAAGGTGGTGGAGAGTTTGGTCACGCCTTTGTACTCGAACAGTGTGGCCAGGCCGAAGTCGGCGATTTTGAGATTGCCATCCGCGGCCAGCAGCATGTTCTCCGGCTTGATATCCCTGTGTCCTACTCCCTTGGAGTGCATGTAGCCTACCGCGCTGATGAGTTGGGAGAAGTAGACGTGCGCGATGTCCTCGCCCACGCCCTCGTCGGCTTCGATCTTGTCGAAAAGATCGCCACCCTCGGCCAGCTCCATTGCAACCCAGCGCCACACATCGTCCTCACCGGTCTGGAAGAAAGAAATTATGTTGTTATGGTCGCCGATGTGTTTGTGTACCGTCGCCTCCATCTGTAATTGCCGCGCGCTGACTTTGCCATGGCGAGCGGCATATTCCTTGTGAATGAACTTGACTGCGAAGACCGGACTATCTGTGTGGGAAGGGACGGCTTTTTTTATGCTAGAGAAGCGAAAAGAAAATTGTTAGCAAAATGGTTTGCAAGATTGATCGAGTCAGAGGGCTTAGGTTCACGCAGACCAGGCATAGGCACCCTGGCCGATCGTTTTGGAGACTATTCGGAAGGGCAAGTCATTCGGCAGCGGGGCTAGTTGCGAGTGATGCATCGTGGTGCTGGCGGACAAACCCGGATTTCCACGGGTAAATCCGAAAGTATATGACAGGTCAGATGGGAGAAGGTGCAAATCGAGAAAATTGTCCGAGTTGTCGTCTGCTTCTAGCCAAAATCATGCGGTGGTGAGAATCGACGCAAGGGTGAGCGATGGGAGAGCGAAGCTGGAGAGAAACGCGCGCAGCTCCGGCACGCGAAAGCCACTTTATCCTCATTGGGAAGTCTGTTGACAGGCTGCCGGTCGCAGGCATCCATTCCGGCTTGTGCGACTGGAAGAGTTTCTCTGACAAGCACGAGTATCTTAACTGTGTCGGAGGAGGCAGAAAATGGGGTTTTAACGCTCGGGTGGCTACGGCAATCTTTGTACTAGTCGGAGCCACTACCTGCATAAGTATGGTTGGTGGTTTCAGGACCTTATTTGACCTTATTTATACGCTCACTCACGTCTTCTGCCGGAGAAAGCGAGTAGCTCACCGCCAAAAAATCATTAAGGTATAGAGAAGTCCATCCCTTTATTGAATGTTCTTGCCTACGGAGCTAGCATAGACCACTTCCAGGGTTTTGATATACTCAGGGTAACTGAAACATCATTCAAGATTTCATTAACCAACTGCAAATGTACGAGAACCACATTCTAAGACTAGTGCATGCAGCCCTCAAATTGCCAGTGCCGTGACAGTCCATAATTACATCGTCCGACTTGAATAGAGCCCCTCAAGGGCCTACTCAGTAAGCCACGGCGCAACGCTCCGCGCACGGCCCTCAATTGTCATGCGCCGCTGTGATGCGAGCCACTGGCTGACCGCCTCGGAGCAGCTGTTATTGTGCCGCGCTCTGGCTTTGTCCGGCCGCCAAGAGGGTGTTGTATGTAAGTTACAGTACAGTCAAGTGTGGGCTTTCTTCATGTGCTGACTGTAACTTCGTCACCGATTCTTAATGACTGACACTGAGCGAAATAGCGTCATGTATACCCGTGACGACTAGCATGACCACCGGTCTGTCAACTGAGAGAGTCAGACGGAGGCTCTGAAGATCAGATGTGGTGGTGGATCATCAATGGCCAGCGAGCATCAATCAGGGTCCTCTGTTGAACGGTTGCGCTGCGTTGCCCGGCGGATGAGGGCGTAAACAAAAAAGGAAGAAAACTAATCCCAATCAATCTAACACTCGATCACCAGTCGTCTTTCCCCCACTCCACTGAAGTTCTCTTTTCCCTAAGAACCCAGGCTACTTCCCCTGTTTCTCATTTTCAAACAGGATCTACAAAACTGCTCTAAGCCAGACATACATACCTACATACATTTGCTGCAGCTCTCCGTTCGTCCAAGGTTCTGATTCCGATCATTCTGGGGTTCTTGCGGTGGGTCAATCCGCTTCCCCTCCGGCCAACTGTCGTGCTGCTTTCGGCTACGCTCCGCTCCCATTCCACCAGCAAGCTACCTCATTATCTCTTGTTCCTCATCACTGCTGAGTCTCGAAAGCTGGCATATTTCCGGAACTTCTCTCTGCATCACTAGTTTTACCCATCTTTTGACTCTCCTTCATCGGCTTTCCTTCGATCTTCTCCTGCACAATGGACTACGCCATGGAAGACACTCAGAACTCCGCTCCTGACGCTCATGAGACCTCGAAGCTTGGCTCCTCAGCACAAAGGAGTGACACTCAGAGCGTCACCAAACGGTCCGTCACCGCACCCTGAAACACATTTGTCGATCACCGGAAGTCGCTGAGATACTGACCGTCCGACTGATTTCTAGTCTGCAAGCTGAGCTGATGCAACTCATGCTCTCCCCCTCTCCGGGCATCTCCGCTTTCCCAGACGCCGACGGCAACCTTCTCTCCTGGACCGCCACCATCAGTGGTCCAACCGAAACTCCCTACGAAGGACTGACCTTCCGACTCTCGTTCGCCTTCCCCAGCAACTACCCCTATGCACCTCCTACCGTTCTCTTCAAGACGCCCATCTACCACCCCAACGTCGACTTCTCTGGCCGCATCTGTCTCGATATCTTGAAAGACAAATGGAGCGCTGTGTACAACGTACAGAGCGTGCTGCTCAGCTTGCAGAGTCTGCTCGGCGAGCCCAACAAGTATGATACCATCCATCTCGTGTCCCGGTCGAGACCTTCAGATTACTGACACACGCACAGCGCGAGCCCCCTCAACGCCCAGGCCGCCGAGCTCTGGGATACCAATCAAGAAGAATACAAACGACACGTCCTTGCCCGTCATCGTGACATCGAAGACATCGAGTAAAGATTTCAAGAGATGTGTGTTTGATGTTGCGGTCGGCTCCGCAGCAAACAGAAGAGAAAATCAGGTTGCATTGCATAAACGGGGTTGTCCTTGGTGTACTTTCGTTTAGGGTGCGGTGTCTCCCGGGTTTCTTCCATAGCAGATCCCGGGTCCACCTTGTTTCTTGTCATATGGGGGTTTTCTGGAGTTTATGCGTTTGGGAGGGGCGCGAATTTGCTCTTTTGCTTCGGTGAGGATGGACCAGCGGTGGGGGAATTGGGAGGCTACAGGTCCCGGGAATCAAATACCCTACTTTCTTTTTAGTCCTGCTTGAATCCTCTGGCCCGTTTCAGCTTGTTTGTCATTCTTAAGTTGGCTGCGAGGCATGTGTGTAAATGAGCGACCATGAAGTAGTCAGGCAAGGTTTCCATTCATTTTTTATATACTTGAACAAAGTCACACGCTATCCACTCGAGGCAGCTCGGAGCTCCAACGCTTAAGAAAGTATGCTTCAGTTTGGAAAACTGCCATGTCAAAAAGCAGTAGGGCTCCTTTCTTGATCTAGTAATAACTTAGCAGTCAGCACAGTAGCGAACAACATCCAGGTGGCCATCTAAAGTGTTACTCCCCTACCTTGCTCCCCAGTCTTGCATGTAGGCAAAGTTCAAATCCTCATTTCCCAAGTCAGACTACATCAAGCCCAGGAGAAGATCCCCGAACACTCTACCTCGGCTTAGCAAGTAGATACTCCAACAAGTGATCAACATACATCCCTGCGATTGCTGCACTACTGAAGGCAGTGATCGCCCACATTAGCATCACTCTAAATGCCACGCGATGGACATTCCCGGGCCAACTGGGCGCCAGTTGCCGACAGCGATCTGCATTGTACTGTACCTGGGTATCAGTATCGAACATGGGAAATGACCTCCATATCTAGTTTCGGGTTTGCTGCGCCTTGTAGGGCGCTCTCCTCTTACACGTAAAGAGGTGCTCAGTAAAGTAGCATAGCATTCAGGTCGTCACCTACTGACATCAGGCTTTCTCTTGAGCTTCCTACCATCCGACATTAAGCTAGTCTAGACTATCTTACCTGTTACTATTTCAAGTGCATGGCTTCCGGAACCGGTAACTTGCCGTATGCGGCAGCCTTGAGGTGGCCCAGCCTGAGGTGCCGAGCATTGAACATTCCGCGGGAACTTTCTAGTAGAAGATCGATAGTAGGGAGGGTACCGTCTCAACTAACCTTAACTTATGCAATTGGAGCAGATTCAAGGTTGGAATGGTGACCACTAGTACATGTACTACTAGCTCCAATCACGGTTTAAATCCGACTCGTCCATCAGAGCGGGGCAATCGAGATTATGACCTCATGGGTTCCGTTGGCTGCGAACAGTTCCAATAGCCGACCATAGTAGGTAGTTCCTGAATCCTTTCCGACCTTAGTTAAGGCACTCACTCAGCCCACAGATGCGCGAGAAGCTCCCACCTGGTGTCCTCGATTACTCAACAATGGCCGCCAATGACAAGGAGTGGGAGCTAGAGGAAGGGATCCCTCAGGTCGAAGATCCCTTCATTCAACAGTACCTGAAAGGACGAGACTCTCTGATTCTGCAAGAGCAGAAACAGCGACATGGTAAGACCTCGTCCCAATCGTTCTCCAGTCCTTGGACCACTGGTCAAATTGATCCCGACTGACGAGCGTGTTTCAGACTTCAACCTTCGCAAAGCTCTGACCCCAGTCGCCGCCAGAGCTTGCAAGATCGTGTCCAAGATTCGCGATCGGGAGTTGACTCAAGCTTCTACGCCTTGTGATGGACCACCGGTTGTAGACTGGGAACAGGTTCGGAAAACTGACCTTTGGAAGATCGCGCAGAGAATGCCCAAAGGGTCTCTGCTGAACGCTTCCATCCATGGTCTCATCGACGTAGATAAGTTGATCGACTTCGCTCTCACTACGGCGGGGTTGCACATTTCTAGCCCCCAGCCTTTATCGTCTCAAGAAGCGCGCCAGGAATCGCCCGTCACCTTTCAGTATGCTTCGTCTTCGAAACAAAGCGTGGAAGGCAGCGTCTCTATATGGTCGGCTGCCTATAGTGCCTCGGAACTTGTTCCTATTCAGCAGGCAGTCTCTTCCTTTCCGGATGGTGGAGAGACCGGGTTCCGCGACTGGTTGAAGAGGCGATGCACCCTTGGGGACGAGCATTCGAGCGACGATCCCCATGGCGCGGCGATCATCAACTCTCTGCTGAGTTATGAGCCCATTTTGCGTTTCTGCTTGAGAGACGTCTTCGCGCATCTGGCAGCGGACGGGGTCGATTATGCCGAGTTCAGGCATACCTTCAGCCATCCCTATCGACGGGAAGGAACCGACACGCCCGACGAAGACCAAAGCGAATGGTGCCATGTGTTTCAACAAGAATTACGGCGTCGCCAGAGCACGGACGAAGGGCGTGGTTTCTACGGAGCGCGGATCATATGGAATGCCAGTCGCTCACTCTCGAACAGGGAGATCGCGGATAACATGCAAACCTGTCTTTTCGCAAAGTATGATTACCCGGAGGTTATCTCTGGGTTCGATATATCGGGGACAGGAAGTGATGCAAGGCCGCTGTCAGACCTCGTTCCTCTATTGTTCTGGTTCCGCAAAGAGTGCATGGACGCAGGCCTGGAGATCCCTTTCCTCTTCCATGCCGGCGAGACGTCGCATGACGAGGCGCGTGCCGACCAGGGCTTATATGATGCGATCCTGCTAGGGACGCGGAGAATCTGCGAAGGATCGACACTCTACAAGCACCCGTTGCTGACTGAGTCGGTCAAGGAGAAGAAGATCTTGGTCGAGTTCAATCCGACCTCCAGCCGGAGCGAGCACATTCTTCCGGCCCTGCTGTCGCGGGGTATTTCGGTCGCTCTCTGCGGCAGTAGTTTCAACGGGCGCGGTGCAGAAGGGTTCACGCAGGTAATTTGGAGGGTGCTTCGAGGTGATGATGACCACACCGATCTTGCAGGACTGGCAATGCTGGTGGAGAACTCGATTCGGTGGAGCTGCTATGATGATCAGCCGGCGGGTGAATGGCTTTCCGAGATCGGGGAGGGCATTCTGGGCGAGAAGGTCAAGGCCCGCCGTTTGCAGGATTGGTGGGCAAGGTTTGAGCAGTTTTGTGAGTGGGTTACAGTCACATTTGCGGAGGAAGGCAGTGATGAATAATTGATGAATCCTTTCATTCGGCGCCGATTATATTGCTTGCTCAATTTTATCGCGTAATGCCACTATATGAGATGGTTGATTCTAGATTGACTATCAACCTGCGCTACCTTTCGTCGGACGAGGCCCCCTCCCCCACAGGTCGGAGTACGCACATAGTGCCTGTAACCAGGCGTCTAGATCAACCTTTTCCACGTCGGACACATTCCGCTATCTGTGATATGAAACATGAGTAGGCAAGCATCTGGTAGACAAAGCCATCGGCGAGATTCAGCAACAGGTGTGACTAAGTTCTTGAGGGGCTGGTAGGATTATTTAGAAATCACTTGGGATATATACTTCAATTCTAGATTTTATTGCCCTGCACTCCGGGCTTAGTAAGCAGAAAACAGCGCCAAATTAGACCTAAAGCAGAAAGGGAAAGTGACTTAATCTCCAGTAATGGTGGTAGCAGGTGAACGTGCGAGAAACGTGCATTCGGAGAAATGACCAGTCCTACTTGAACTTGATAATGACCATTGAAGCTCCCGATGACCCGTTCGGAATTCATGCCTCAGGCAATAGATGGATTGTGGGTTTTTGTCATGCCTTGAGATTCACTATTGCCACGGTCCACTGGTTGTGATAGTCATAAATTCCCCCTCTGTAGTCATTGGGCGACTTCACCTCATACATTCATCATCATCATCGAGAACAACAAGAAGATAAATCAACGTAGGTGTGAGTTGTCATGCTGTATGTGGATTGGGTTTAGGTAGTTCGTTGGCTAGCCCAAGCTTCTCCGCCTGACTATCGATTGCGGTCGATCATCCACAATCCATCCTTATCTTTCCTGCTCCTCTTTTCTCCTACTCCTAGTTACTCTAAGGCACTGACTCCAGTCACTCCACTTACCAACGGGACTTAGCGTCTCTTCCGCCCCATTTCCCCCCGAACGTCATTCCCCCCGGCCTTGAAGCAATCCGCATCACCTCCCGAAGTTACGTGCTGCTGCTGCTGCCGCCGCCGCTGTTGTGGTCCATCTGCTTCCTACTTTCTGCCTCCTGCTCCCTGTCCTGCTGCCTGCTTCCTGCTGCCTTCCGGCTGCTTGCTTCTTGAGCCCCAGGCTTCATCCAGCCATCTCCTTTTCCCTTTCCCCTTCCTGTTGCCTTGCTCTGTTTCTGCTCAGATGACTGTTGTGATCTTCAAATGAGCCCCCCGCCGGCTCCCTCCGCCCGAAAATGGCCTACTTCTTGCCTTCTTTCTTCCAGAAACGATTACTCCGCTATGCCTTATCTCGCCTGGAGCTAGTCGATACTGAGGCTCTGGATCTGGATAGTCTAGGGATTCGATGGGGACAACGCAGTACCGTCGAACTGCGGGATATCGGGTTGAGGCTTGAGGTAAGTGCAACGATCTTCCAACCGGCCGTCCAACTGCTCCGATCCGCCCGTGCCTCCAACCCGACATTTCACATTCTTCATCGTTCATGTCCACTAACCTTTTCTTTCTTCAACTTCGTTTAGAAACTAGCTGCACTACTACATCTTCCTGCCTCAAGCAAGCTCCTAAGCGCCCGTGTCCGATACCTGAAGATCACGGTCCCCGCGGACATCTACAGTAGCGGTATAATATGTCAAGCCAGCGGCATCGATGTACATCTGAGACTACTCTCGCAGGAAGCATACCCTTCTGGGCAAGGGGATAGAGCCCCTGACTCACCCCACACCTCCAGCCCCGACGCATTCATCCCCAACCCTGCCGATCTCGCACAGTCGTTCCTCGAAGCTGAACCCAAGGAGGAGAGGGATGAATTACAAGCGGCCATCTCCTCTAGGTCCCAGGTTCTGCATCGCACATCGGCATCAATCAGCGATGATGAAGAGGAACTGGGTCTCGGCAACGAGACTGTGTCCTTGCCCACCTTTGTTGCCGCATTTCTCAAAGGTGTCGTAGATCGCCTGCAGGTTCAGGTTGATGACATATCCGTGCGAGTCGATGTGGAGATGAAGCAAGATGGATCTCTCAAGAGGCAGCCAGAGGATAGACCTGATTTGATCACTGCATTGCTGAGTGTTGGCCAAGTGAATGTGGACGCCGTCTCTGCGCCTCCTGTCACAGATGGAGATCGATCGCATAAAGGGAGAAGATTGATTTCGCTCTCTGACATTAGTGTTGCGTTAGTATCAGAGCCAGTTGTCTTCGCCAACTACTCACGATTCGCCGCTCCTGCCTCCCCCTCGACCCTTGTCCAGGCGAAGACAAGTCAATCTCCAAGCCTCGCCTCTTCCCCTGCCGCTGGACCCTCCTCGGGGAGCTCCACTCTCGAAATGACCAGATCAACTATACTTGAGCCGTCGACTGGGCTTGTGGATTCTCGACGGTTTGACAGAAGTGCGCCCGATTTAGAAGGATCCATGTACACCTATGATGGAAGGTTTTCAGATGCCGACACGGAAGAGGGAGAGGCCCGGAGTTATGGTTACTTGGAGGAATCGCAAGACTTCGCTGATGATGACAAGCTGCTGGATAATCCTGCCTACCTTGATTCTGTTATCAGCTCTCAGATTCAAGACGACGAATTAGATGCGCTGGAAACACTGCCAACAGGAACCAGTCATTCAGCTGCAAGCAGTGAGCTTGTTCCGCGCCCGCTACAGTTACCCGCACCTGGGACAACACAATCAGCCCATGATACACCAAACGCCATGATTCTTGCACCGAGGCCACAAATGCCAGGAGTGCATGAGTTTGCACGCTTTCCAGAATTCAGTGCGCCTCAAACGCGATCCACGCCACCTGCTCTCATCACGGAATCTGATCGAACACCTGAGCCATTCCCACATTTTCAGTCATCACTACCTACATCCGCGCCACCTTCGGAGACCGACAGTTCGAGCTCAACGTCCGGGTCTTTCCATCAAGGCGATCTCAGTGAATCTCGGCTGTTCTCCCACGACGAGGCACAAAGCATGTACATGAGTGCTATTAGTCATGGTTCTACATCTCGAAGCTTCATGCCGAACATGCCCGGTGCTTGGGATTCCTCTGAATCTCAGGTCATGAGGGAATCTGCTGCAAAGAACGCAGTTCAGGGTAGCTCAGAAGATGGACATGAGCACGACGACCATGACGGGACTTCTGTATCGACACCGAAACTCACACCCCAGTCCGAGCCAACTCTGTCTCAATCACAGTCAGCTGAGCAACAGTCGCCAGACAATGACCATCAGTTTGACCCGAAAGAGAGACCATCTGTTCGGGTCTCAACTGAAGAACATAAGTCAGCAGACGTCGCGAGGAAGTTTTTCAGCATTGATAGGATCCAGATTTCGATTCCACCTAGCGATTCTAACCAGGGGGATGATGAGGCCGAATCCGCAAGGTCACATCGACATGCTTCGAGTGACAATTTGAAGGAATCAGCAGTTAACCTGCAGGACTCTGTGGTCGAGGACAGTTTATTGAACTCGTTGATGCGATCTCGTGGTGATTCGAACACGAACGTCCCCCCTGTCAATGATGCCAAAGATGTGAATCAGCATGAACATGAATGGGGAGATCACATTGGTTTGGAGATATTTTCTGCAGAGATCCAATTTGACATCGCAATCGGTTGGCTTGTCGTCAAGGTCGGACAGAGAATCCTTAGTACCTTCGCTGGTCCGGCCGATGACACGACACGAGAGCATCGTCCGCCACAGGAATCGCAAGTAGCGCAAGCCTTCCGAGTCTCCCTTGATAGCTTTGCGATCAAATTCATCGACCACGTCCCTGGGCATGCATATCCTCCTGACACTAACTCGGCGTTCATTACCCAAAATCAGGAAGAGATTCTGCTTCAAGCGGTGGTCTCGGGCTTCAAAGCTAGTTTCGCCGTGAACAATGATATTACTACGCTCCATCTGGATGTGGCCAAGCTCATGGTGGGATTTGCACATGAGGAACTGATTTCTTTCAGCGAGGAACTCAAGATGCGCGAATCCACTAGGGACGTCACTTCATCAAGCCAAGGTGACATCTCACTGAAGGTTCGAATGACTTCAAAAGCGACAACGGCTGAGCTCATGACGCTTCCCTTGCAACTTAATCTCAACATCCAGCGCCTGGAAGAGGCCATAGGGTGGGTAGGTGGTTTGAGCACCATTCTGGAACTTGGAAGCTCCATTTCATCTAGTTCTTCGAGCAAGGGACCGAGCAAGGACACACCGAAGCGTTCTCGCGGGGTGCACTTTGAAAGTGGCCCTCCACCGGCGACTGCACAGCCACCTGGAACAGTACCGGTCAAGGTGAATGCTCGAATTGGTGGCATTGCGCTGAACATCATCGGGGAAAGTCACTACATTAAACTCAGAACAACCGCAGTAAAGGTTGTCAGTAGATCTGAGGGACTGGGCATCCAGATTGACAAGGCGAATCTTAGCGGGCCATGGTCTCTCGAATTTAACCGCGACGCGCCCGCTTCTGTGGGTTTGAATGATATCAGATTTGAATTTCTTTTCGGTCCAAAAGAGCGCGACCTGGATCGACTTCTCGCGTTGATCACGCCTTCGAAGGATAAATACGATGAAGATGACGATATCATGTTGGATACGCTATTCCGCCAGCGTAATCAGGGATCTGTCCTTCGGGTCACAGTTGGCCGGACGCAGGCCAGAGTATCTCGAACCGCTGATCTGGAATCTCTTATGCAGCTTGCGGACGAGATGAGTCGGCTATCGAATGTCGCTAAATACTTGCCTGAAGACGATCGACCCGGAGTTCTGACTCTGATCTTACTGCGTGAGTTTGAGGTTCAAACACACCTTGGTGGAAAGGTAGGCGTCATTACAGCTAGGCTCCAGGATGCCGAAGCAGCATTTATCAGTCTTCCGTCCCTTGTGGCAGCCCAAATCGGTCACATACAAGTCGCGAGGAACGAAGATGAGGAGCTCGTCGGCGATGCACTTCCTGGATCAGAAGGATATTTTTCAAATGACACAACGATGCCGGTCCTCATGGTCCGTTTCATTGCGGATGAGATGGATCCTACGATCAAGGTTAAGCTACATGGCATCCGTGCGGAATACTCGCTTCCTTCCGTCATTGCATTCCTTGGGCTTGGAGATGAGTTGACAACTGGTGATGTCGCTGCGAACATGGCAAACTCAATCGCCAATCTTCCT